AGCGAGAAGAGGGCTTCCGTTTTGGTAAAGATGGCTGGTGCCGAAATGAAGAGGTGAAGGTATCTGAGCTTGGCATAACCTCCTGTGACCTCCTGTCACTGCCACTCCAATCCATCGATACGGGAGGGAAGTGTGCCTTGTCATGGTATTGCCATCAGCTGAACTCCGCAGGTCTCCAATGAGGTTGTTAATGAATGGTGGGCTGGGAGAAGGGAAGCTGTGCGTCACCTCGTCCCTGGGTGAGAATGGACACAGGTCCTTTGTTGGTTCTCAAGTTCAGGCCGAGTTATCATTACTCAGCCTTTATCCAGCGAGTCTATGCCAAATGCATGCCTCTTTCCCTGATCACCTCGGGGAGATTAGGGAGTAAGCCCCAGGAGACCTCAGCCAGGACAGGAACCTGTGGCTGAACCGACGCAGTCCTGAGAGGAGCAGCATCCTGGAGGCGACCAAGGACTTGGAGCCAGTGTGGACCCGTGAGCCTGCTCCTTTACACACAGAAAGAGGAACTCCCCAGCCTGGCTCAGCAAAGTGAGGCATTCAGGCAGTCTGAGGCCAATCTCAAATGCTGCCAAACCGCCCACGCTGAAGTCGCTTACACAGCGTTGCTCCTGGAGACACGGCCACCTCGGAGGCTGGGGGAGAGCCAGTCGTGCCGCAGTGGGGACCAGAGTGTCCTAGGCAATTCTAGCTCCATCTGCGATGAGCCGTGTCACACTGGACAAGCCCCTCCGCGTACTCTGTCTTCCATCTTCCCCTTCTCTAAAAGAAATGACCCTGGGGCCGGCGCTGTGGTGCAGTAGGTTAAGCAGCTGCCTGTGGCACCGGCATCCAGTATGCGATTCTAAGTCCAGGCTGCTCCACTTCTGATCCAGCTCCTGGCTAATGTGCCTGGGAAAGCAGTGGGCGTGGGCCCCTGAGACCCACATGGGAGACCCTGAAGAAGCTCCTGGTTCTGGCCTAGCGCAGTCCTGCTGTAGCAGTCATTTGGAAACGTGAACCAGCGGACGTAAAAAACCTGTCCTTCTCTCTATCACTCTGCCTTCCAGGTAAATGAATAAATCTTAAAATAAATAAAAAGTAAAAGAATGATCCCAGGAATGCGGCCCATACCTAGTTCATGGAGCTGCTGGGAGCGTCTCCAAGGCAACATATGTGAAACCTACTCAGTAGATTGCAACGTGCTCTAGAAACGCTTGTTGTTAAGCGTGATTTTATTACAGCTGGGACCAAATGCTTTCTGGAACACACTGGCAGTTGTTTACTGAAAGCCATGGGAGGGAGGAGGGAATTCCCTTAATGAAAAACTGCTTGTGAACAAGTCTGCAGGAAGGCAGCTCTTCACTGTGGGAGGGGATCCACCTGCAGCCTGGCTGCCCACCTGCTGGGGACCAGCGCCTCCTGCCAGCTCCTGTCCTGAGCTACGACTCCCTCCCTCCGGCCCGCCAAGCTGCCCACCCTCCACCACGGGGCCTGGAGGAACGGGTGGAGAACCACAGAGCAGGGGGCTTGGGAGTCAGACATCCCAGGGCTCCACAGCCGGCCCGACGCCACCACTTCTTGGGTGGAGACTGGGGCACGCTTGCTCAGGCTCCCGGAGTCTCTATACAGCTAATGTTTTTGAGGGAGTTCTGGTCACGTGACAGACAACGCGTTTGATATTTATCTCATTGATCCCTGACAGTCAATTTGGGAGATACCCAATGTATAGACGGGAACGCCGGGGCTACCTCGTCACGGGAGCGACTGAAGGGACAGAGTGCAGGGGGGTGGGGCAGGGCAGAGCCAGGACCTGGAGCGTTGGCTCCCTTGGCTCCGTGCGGCTTGGCCGCCCCCAGGTCTTTCCGAGCTTGGACGTTGCAGTGTGCTAGTAACAACCTTCAAGGTCAAAGGCAGCCAGCAGTTTCCAAAGGTTACGGTGGCGGGGGCTCGGCTGCCTGGGCTCCGGCGGGCTTTGCCACTTGCTGGAGGGTCCTGGGCGGGTTGCTTCACCTGAGACCCTGTTCCCTTGTCTCTGGAACAGGGACAGCCACAGCACCCACCAGGGCTGGGCCGAGAATCGCACCAGGCGGTGCCCTTGAGAGCCCTGGGCGCAGGCGGTGCTCGTGCAAGCCTTCCTCTCCTGTTAGTGTCGCGCCGCAGCTGCTTGCCGGTGGACCCCTCTCCTCCGGCAGCCGTGGGGGCCGCTGCTCCCCCTCTGCAGTGGGGGTGTTCCTACAATGCAGTGAGGGAAGACACACAGCCGGTGGCCCTGGGGACCTGCCAGCTTCATCACTGAGCAGACCTGCTTTCTCTCTCCTCTGGATTCTGTGATTCTACAAATGAGGTTACTGAAAAAGAGGCGCTTCGTACAGAATCTCCAGGAGATGTACAGAACACACGAAGGGACTGTGGACGTCCTGAAATTTAGCCCTGAAGCACGAACGTTGTCCGTTCCTCCGGTTACTGCTCCCTGTGGGCAGCAGTGGGGCAATGCTGCTGGCACAGACGTCGCCTCGCCGTGGCCACCGAGACCTCCGGAGACCTTGCTCAAAGGCCCAGGGTCTGGGTCCTGTCCCAGTGCGGCTGATCAGTAGCTGTGGCCACCCCAGGTGACTTCCACGCCTGCAGTGGAAGGGCCACCCATTGAGAAGCACTGCTCTGAGCACCGGTGGGGAATAAGGTGGGAACTTCGAAGGCCTTTGAAACTTCTTTCAAAAAGAAATTCTGAGAACACTTTCCAAGGGCAATCCTATGGGGGTTTCCCATATGCGAGACACAGGAAAGCTGAGCCCTGCCCGGCCAGAGGCCGTGTGGGGCCCTGCAAGCACAGGCTTGGAGTTCGCTCTCCACAAGGGCCCACAGCGCCTCCTTGTGGACCATCTGATCAACTGGAAACCGTTCTCCCGGGGTTAAGCGACTTGGGTGGTCACTCCTGCTGCTGCTACCTGACACCCTGTGGGCTGGCCATGGCCTTCCCATCCACCCTCCAGACCCATCTCATTCTTCACAGTAAACTCTTCCCTCTCTTGGTCTACAGTTGTTTCTGAGCTTAGGGTACATCCTCCTGAAGATATCAAAACTTAGACTGCTCACTGCTTGGGGCCAGAATACCCCTCCCTCCGTCCATCATTTTCAGGATCCAGTGTTGGGCACATGGTAAAGACCTAGGATGCCCTCGCTATATGAATGAATGAATGAGTGAGTGAGTGAGTGACTCCACAGTGCCTCTCCCCTTTCATGTCCCCGTAATACTAAAAGATGAGTAAAACTGATACAGCCTGCTTTAAGTTCTCCCTTTCAGTTATTTTACAGTGTGTTTAAAAATGTTAATGCATTTCTATTGTCAGAAACATGTATTTCAGGGCAGACATTTGGCACAGCGGTTAAGGTACTGCTTGGAATGGCTGTGTCCTACACAGGAGTGCCCAGGTTTCAGTCCTGGCCCTACTTCCAATTGCAACTCCCTGCTAACGCACACTCTGGGAAGCAGCAGCAATGGTCAAGGGCTTGAGTCCCTGCCACCCACGTGGGAGAGACCAAGGTAGAGCTCAGGCTCCTGGCTTCACCTTGGCCCAGCTCTGCTGGTGTAGGCATCTGGGGAGTGGACCAGTGGGTGGAAAGGCACTCTTTGTCTGTCTCTGCCTTTTGAATCAAATGCAAATAAATATATTCATGAAATGGGTGTTTCAGTGCTAATTTTGTGAGGCAAGGCCAGAGACCACCTTTATGTGGCTGCAGGGTGGGGGGAAGGGCTATTTCGCTTTGCGGAATATAACATCCGGTGTACATCAGTGCTGCTACACAATTAATTGTATCGCCGCCATCCTCTCATCCAGATTTCGTTTCTACAAGATCCCCATTTACTTTGTGCTGTTATTTGTCAAGGGAAAAGGTTACAGTTCCCTACTGCTTCGTCGGGCGCGGGCGGAGGGGGGTGGCGGGCGCAGACTTCGCCACCTGCGGGGTTTCTGCTCTCTGCCGCTGCTGCATCAACACTGCCGAGTCGCATCCTGTGACTGACGCTGCTGCCAAAGCAGCCCTGCCTCCACGCCCCGCTGCTGCCTTTCCCTGTCCACGCCAAGCGTGTCGTTCCAGAGCAGTCTGCGGTCACGCACGTCTGCCGCGTTTCCTGGTTCTGCCTCCGTCTCACCCTCTCTGTATGGTTTTCTCGCGAATGAACGGCGGCTTGCCCCACCTCGGTTTTCTAATCCTCGCTGAGCCTCTCCTCTGTAACTCACGAAGCCAGACTGCGCACCTCGCTGCTCCTCACGCCAGCCTGTTGCAGGCTCGTCTGAGCTGTTTCTACCTACGAGTGCAGGAAGGCACAGTGCTTTCTGCTACCTGTGCACAAACCTGGAAGCGAACACACTGTTCTGACTCTGCTCCGTGAAACCCACTGGAGAACAGACCTGGTTTTGTACGACGTCTGTGCTGGCCTCTGTCAAGCCTTCATCCAGGCACTCTGGGTCCCTCCTGGAAGGACGGGGTTTCCCTTTGGCTTACAGGGTTCCAGGAGGGGGAACCACAAGCTCTGCCCTAATAGCCCCTGATTCCCGAGTGCAGCCTGTGGGCCTGGAGAACCGGCTCCTGCCCCAGCCCTGCCTGGCCTCCCACACCGAGCTGAGCCGAGCTGGGCGCTTCCTGGTGGCAGCTCTGGATGCTCCTGGGCCCTCCTCCCTGGCTGCTGCCGCATCTCTCCATGACGACTGAACGCACCACAGCACCAGGGTGAGGCAGAGTTCAGCGGTGGGTGGGGGTCCTGGCCTCGGCTTGCCAGGCCCACTCGCTGCGCTGATGCTCTGGGCCTGACAGCAGCCACCTGTCGTGCCCTCCCCCCCAACCCTGTGACCCCACCATGAGAGCAGGCCTGCTGGGGTCCTCCCCACAGCTCAGCTGCCAGTTGGAGGTCTGCGAAACACACAGTGGGTTGCACTGTGGAGACCAGGGCCGTGTCTCTGCCGCGCCCCCCAGCGGGTCCCACCAGCAGGTGCACAGCAGCGACCCTGGGAGCCTCTTACCTCAAACTGGATCAGCACCGTGCCGCTCTCGAGGCCCTTCTTCAGCAGGTCCATGGAGCCCTCGAGCGTGCCCGCTCCCTCGGGACACACGGGGAAGATGGTCTCGGGGAAGAGCTGGCTCAGCTCATCTTCAGATCTGATCTCTGCAAACTTGTGCACGGCTGCGAGGCACGAGACAGGGCGTCTGCCCGGGATCCACACGGGGGCCCCCGTTCCCTCACAGAACCGCCCTCAGGACGCGAGGGTGCAGAGGGCTTGGGATACCTTATTAAGTGATTAAGCACACGGTAATCATTTTCACCAAAGACACTACTTGCCGGGGAAAAGGCTCAGTGCATGTTAATTACACGGACCACACGCTAATCTTTCTGGTTAGTTTTAAATGAGGGTGTTTAGCACGCACAGGATTTTGCCAAAGAGAAGAGAGGGAGGGAGGGGGAGAGAATGTTCTGACAGCAGCCCCTCCTCCATCCGCTCCCCTGGCCTGCCATTTTCCCACCATCCCCCTTGCTCCCATCCTCCTCTTCCTCGGGTCCTTTTCACTTGTACCCTGAAGATGGGGAATTCTCGGGGGCAGAGATCTGGTCTACCAGGGATCCCAGTTGAGACGCCTGCAACCCACAAGGGACTGCTTGGGTTCTGGTCTCTGCCCGGGCCCAATTCTACCTTCCTGCTAACACCAAGACCACCGCAGGCATGAACTGAAATTCAATACATCTCTAGCAGGCTGACGTTTGCATTGATCATTCTGTCTGGCCTGGGGAATGATGTTGAAAATATCCACGTGACCCTTGGCAGAAAAAAAATCATTCCCCACCCCTATTTTTTTTTAAATTAATTAATTAATTAATTAATTTTGACAGGCAGAGTGGACAGTGAGAGAGAGAGACAGAGAGAAAGGTCTTCCTTTGCCGTTGGTTCACCCTCCAATGGCGGCCGCGGCCAGTGCGTTGCAGCCAGCGCACTGCGCTGATCCGATGGCAGAAGCCAGGTACTTATCCTGGTCTCCCATGGGGTGCAGGGCCCAAGTACTTTGGGCCATCCTCCACTGCACTCCCTGGCCACAGCAGAGAGCTGGCCTGGAAGAGGGGCACCAGGACAGAATCCGGTGCCCCGACCGGGACTAGAACCTGGTGTGCCGGTGTCGCAAGGCGGAGGATTAGCCTAGTGAGCTGCGGCGCCGGCCTCCCCACCCCTATTGTGTCTGCCAACCCCATGCGGGGGACCTGAGAGGAGTTCCTGGCTCCTGGTCTCAGCCCCTTGGCCGCTGCAGGCATCTGGGCAGTGAACCAGCAGATGGGGGCTCTTGCTGTTTGTCTCTATCAAAATCAATCAATAAATGAAATTCTGTGGAAATGGGCATTGTCCTGGAGAAATGGGGGCCGGGTCCCAAGCTGTCCCACGCTACCTCGAGGCCCTGGCTCCACCTCTCCAGCCCGACAGCTTTTCCATGCTTCCTTCCTCCTGCGTCAGCACAGATTCTCCCTTCTGGTCCAACTCAGCGTGGGTGAAAACCAGCCGCCCCCACCTCCACCCCGCGCGGTCCTCCCTGTCCCCTGCCAGCGTCTGCTTTGCCTTTTTCTTCTGCAACCTCCCCCAACTGGAAACGTGGGGATCATTCTGCACTGTCCCTTTCTACTGGGAAAGACAAGGCACTCCCCCACTCAGAAGCCTTCCGTGGCTCCCTGCTGCCTTCAGGATAACAGAAATGCAGGAGGAAGATACGAACAATGTTGACGTTTCCCCACGTCACAGAATGGAATTCTCTCCAGTCTCAGCCTGCTGTCATTGTCCCTCTTTCACAGAAGAGGGAATGGGCTCGCAGGGCAAGTCCTCCATCCCAAGTGAGCCAGCCTGGCCGGGACGGGACGGACAGGGGACTCGGCTGTGCCACCTGCCTCTGACGACCACATTCTTCTCACTGCAACAGCAGCTCAGCTCCTCCCCTGGGGACTTCTGTCACATCTGCCACTCCTGGGCTACTGTCAACTTACCATTTTTCTTCAAATCAATTCACGGTTTTTACCTCAATGCACATTTAAGCATATTTACTATTACTAGAAAACCAGTGGCCCTGCCCATCGGCTTCTAGTCTATAGACATCTATAAGCCTCACCTCAAACAGGTGTCTGCCGCCACCAGGGACGCCAGCCTGCCAGGGGCACACCTGTGTGCAGCGGGGACCTGCTCCCTGCTACTCATGTGACCCCGCCCATCACACAGAGGGCAGGGCATCCCCTGGGACCTGGGACTCGGTCTCCCCATGTCCTCATTTGGGGAAAACAACACCTAGCTTTCAGGACAGTCACCAGCCTCGGGGAGGATGGTGGCACAAAGCCATCAGTGCAGAATGAGGCCCTTCACCTGCTACTGCAACTAGTGAGCACCTACTGTGTACCTGCCGGGGGCTGCTGGGATTTGGGGGTGGGAGACCTGCAGAGATGAAGAGGTGGGATCAGCACTGGCCCTGGCTGGCTCTGGGCTAGGAGTTCCGGTGGAGCAGACAAGCAGCAGCGGAGCTGGGTGGGGCTGCGTCTACACAGGCAGGGCAGGGTCTACACAGGTGAGGTGACAGCAGAGATGCGGGGCCTGGGCTCCGCAGCCACATCCTGCGCTCACTGTCAGTGCTGTCAAGCTGCACGGGCGGCCTCAAGGGACTTGGCTAATTATCGCACAAGAGCAATAACAATAACAGTAATGACAGCCCACGGAGGCCCAGCTCGGGCCGGGCAGTGTGCCAGGCGCTTTCGAGCCTAAGGGTCATTTAATCTTCCTAAGAAGTGGGGAGGAAGGGAGTCTGGCTGTGCTCGTGTTACACTCCGGAGACGGAGCTGCAGCCTGGTGTGTCCCTTGCTCAAGCTCCCTCAGCACGGCGCAGGAGGCAAAGTTGGGGATCACAAGAGACCCTTGGGTTCCAACCCCACCTCTCCTCCCTGCCTCCCCGTAAAATGCAACGTGTGGGTATAACAGAGTTGGCTCCTTCCGGAAGGGGTGGGCCAGGCCAAAGTTTGCGGGGCCTGGGAGGAATGTGGCGGGGCTGCAGTGCCGTGCAGAGGAGTGGCAGGTGCAGGTGCTGCCTCTGCATTGGTCGGGTCAGCAGGCCCGGGGGCCCCCTGGGGCCGAGAAGCAGGCACCCGAACGGGGACTGAAAATTCCTGACTCCCCACAGCCCACTCCGGGCCTCCGCGTCTTCACAGCACAGACGGGGACGGGCGCGGTTACCTTTCCTCCGGATCACCAGGGCCAGCTCCCGCGAGTGCGACTCCCGGCTGGCCTTGATGAACATCACCACCTGGTCGTGCGTGTGCTCGGAGATGTCCCGGCCGTTGATGAACACGATTTGATCCCCTTCGTTCAGCTTAGGAATGCAGGTGTCAGCCTGCGGGGAGGGGAGGAGCGCGTTGGCAGGCGGTCTGCGAGGATGGGAAGAAGGCGCGGCGCTGTCATCCCAGACCGCTGAGCGACTGCACTGGTGGGTGGCATTCCGCCGTGAGGGTCATGGCTGGGTGGCAGGGAGATTTCAGTGGCTAGGCTGGCCACAGGAGCCCATCTGTCACTGGAGGCCACCCCACTTGTTACCACTGTGACTACTGTGCATCCGCCTCTCGTTTTCTTTTTTTTTTCTTTTCTTTTTTTTTTTTTTTTTTTTTGTTGACAGGCAGAGTGGACAGTGAGAGAGAGAGACAGAGAGAAAGGTCTTCCTTTGCCGTTGGTTCACCCTCCAATGGCCGTGGCGGCCAGCGCACTGTGGCCAGCGCACCGCGCTGATCCGATGGCAGGAGCCAGGTATTTCTCCTGGTCTCCCATGGGGTGCAGGGCCCAAGTACTTGGGCCATCCTCCAATGCACTCCCTGGCCACAGCAGAGAGCTGGCCTGGAAGAGGGGCAACCGGGACAGAATCCAGTGCCCCAACCAGGACTAGAACCCGGTGTACCAGCACCGCAAGGCGGAGGATTAGCCTAGTGAGCTGCGGCGCCGGCCCGCCTCTCGTTTTCTGGGTGTGCGGCTAGAAGCGGATTTGCCAGCCAGAAGGAAGGGCTGATGTGTTTTGCAATAGAGAAAGCCTCGGTAAATTCAACAACCGAGGTGGAGAGCATGGCGGGATGAAGGGGACAGAGTAGAATCAAGAGCCGTCCTGGCTCACGGGAACCTTCAGCAGGGACTGAGAGGGGAAGCCCCACGCTGGGGGAACACCTAAAAGCCCCGACGTTCCCTGGCAGGGGACTCAGTAATTCTTTGATGTTCTCCTGCTTCAAAACAGCAAATGCTGCTGGGGCTGGCACTGCGGTGCAGCAGGTAATGCCACAGCCTGCGACGCCGGCATCCCATAGGGGTGCCGGATGGAGGCCTGGCTGCTCCACTTTTGGTGAAGCTCCCTGCTAATGGCCTGGGAAGGCCAGAGAAGATGGCTCAAGTGCTTGGGCCCCTGCACCCGCGTGGGAGATCAGGAGGAGGCTCCTGACCCCTGGCTTCGGCCTGGTCCAGCCCAGCCCAGCCCTGGCTGTTGTGGCCATTTGGTGGGTGAACCAGCAGGTGAAAACTGTCTCTTCCTCTCTCTGTGTAACTCTGACTTTCAAATAAATAAATACATCTTTTTTATTTTTTAAAATTTTTTGACAGACAGAGTGGACAGTGAGAGAGAGAGACAGAGAGAAAGGTCTTCCTTTGCCGTTGGTTCACCCTCCAATGGCCACCGCGGCTGGCACACTGTGGCCCGGCGCACCGTGCTGATCCAATGGCAGGAGCCAGGTGCTTCTCCTGGTCTCCCATGGGGTGCAGGGCCCAAGCACTTGGGCCATCCTCCACTGCACTCCCTGGCCACAGCAGAGAGCTGGCCTGGAAGAGGGGCAACCGGGACAGAATCCGGCGCCCCGACCGGGACTAGAACCTGGTGTGCTGGCGCCACTAGGCGGAGGATTAGCCTAGTGAGCCGTGGTGCCGGCCTCAAATAAATAAATACATCTTTAAAAAAAAGTAGCAAATGATAGAAAGGTGCCCATGAAAGTTGAGAGTGTCTGACACTGTATCTGACTGTGATGACCGTTCTGCTACACACACACACACACACACAAACACACATCCATAGCAAGACAACGTGGACACCTTAAATACATACAATAGCATTTTAGAAGGAAAAAAGAAGCCCACAATCTTAGGAGGCCTCGGCAGAGGGCTGTGGTGGTGAGAAGGTGCGACAGGCAGAGTCCACATTCACTCAGCACAACCGCAGCGCCCTCCCTGGAGCAGCACTTCTCCAATGTGACGGGCACACAAATCCCGCCCCCAGGCCTTGTTACAAATGTGCAGTTCTGGGTCAGCAGGCCGGGGCTGGGGCCAGAGATTCTGTGTCTAACAGGGTCTGTGTTTGATGGGTGGAGGGGGTCCCTGCATGTCTGATGGGGGGGGTACCTGCATATTTGATGGGGGGTGGCCCCTGCATGTCTGATGGGGGGGTCAGTGCATGTCTGATGATGGGGTCCATGCATGAATGATGGGGTCCCAGGTGACAAAGGTGCACAACTTCAAGACCTCCACTGAGCAGGAAGGTTCTGGAAAACCTTTCATATGTATACGTGTGTATTTACACACTTTGGTGCCCCCCCAAATGCCCAACCAAACCCCCAAAATCCCCAAATACCACACACACACACAGAGTCCTGTGAGATCTAGACTGAGGAACTAACAGGTGGCGTGTTGACTTACAGGTGACTCTGGGTTTATCCTTGATACCACGAGCGGCATTTTCTGATCCACTCCTCCCTGTAAACATTTTAAAGCAAAAAACCACCTGAGTAGCTCCTGGCAACAAAGACACAGCAACACCAACAAAGGTGAGTCCTCTGGCCAAGGAGGGCTGGGGGTGGGGTCTCCCATTTCAGGCTCTGGAATCCCAGGGCAGGGCGCCCTTTCAGAACTAGGAAAGTTCCTGATCCCTCCGTGTCTGGAGGGAGAAGCAGAAGAGCTTGGTAGAGTGGGAAGTCGCCCTTGGCCATCCCCCTGGTCCAGGAATGAAAGATGCACTTGGAGGGAGAAGCTCCTAACGTTTTTTATTTGAGAGGCAGAGAGAGGTAGAGAGGTAGAGAGGTAGAGAGAGAGGGAGAGGGAGAGAGACTGAGACTGAGTGCACCTCCCATTCACTTTTTAAAGACCCACAATGGTTGGGACTGGGACAGGCTGAAGCTAGGGCCAGGAATTCAATCAAGGTCTCCCATGCGCGTAGCAGAAACCCAACTCCTTAAGCCATACGCGCTACCTCCCAGGTCTACACTAGCAGTCAAGCTGGAGTCAGGAGCAGAGCTGGGCACTGAACCCAGGCACTCCAATGAGGGAAGCAGGTGTCCCAACTCTCATGGTAAGGGTAAAGCCAAACACTTGCCCTAAAGTCCTTTATAAAACTGCACACAGCCCCTGGAGGAGGACTGCATGGGCACATCGTCCCATAGCTGCTGAAGGGAGCTCTCGGTGGAGGGGGTGAGGCCTCGGGACAGCTCCCTTGCTGCGAGCGCTCACAGGTGGCAGCAGGTGCTCAGGATGGGGGTGTAGGGTGGTAGCAGCGTCGTGGGCGGCAAAGACCACCTGCCCTTGCTGTGCTCTGCTGCAGGGGTAAAGACCTCTGGTGCACCTGCTGTACCTAGTGATGCTGGATAGTGAATGGCTGCAGCTGCCCCAACAAAGACGTTCACAAAAACCCAGGGATTCGGTCTGTAGCCACTTCGTGCCTAGAGGCTGCCAGAGGAGCAAGGCAGCCCTGCAACGCCCCCTGCTGGTTGCTTTCTCTCACCAGCCTGGGCAATGCAGAGGGCTTGTGCTTAGCAGCACCTCTGGGGGAGGGGGACATATCTGTCTACCAACCCTGTGCCCTCACCTGTCTGAGCCTCTGATTTCATCGATAAAATGGGCTTCAAAATGCAGACTGCACTGCTGATTCTAAGAGCTAAGGAAGGTGCACACAGCACGTGGTAGGCTGTTCTGGCCGCACAAATGCTAACTCCCAGGGCTGAGCTGGTCTCCTTGGGTAGCCTAGGTGGCTGGCACATTTCCACTGGAAATCAAAAATTCATCTGAAGGTGCTGCCTCCTGGTAAAACAGGTGCTTAGAAGTGCAGTCGCCTTACCTTGAGATTAAATCCGAATTTTCCGTCTTCGTCCGGCGTGATGCGGATCAGGACCAAGTAGCCGTCACCGTTGTCATTCTGGAAGACATTCAAGAGTGGCCACCTGCAGGATTCCGTCTCTGGCAGCCCTAGTTCTCGGGTGAGCCCCACGCCCCGCCCTGGCCGGCTCCCTCACCTTGTCACAGTAGTACTGGCCGGTGTCCTCGGTGGAGGCCCCTCGGGTGGCCCTGTGGTAGTCGTCTGAGACCTGCTGGTCCACGCCGTCGGGGGAGGAGGAGCCTGGAGCGTTTGAAGACACAGAACTGGATGACTTCTGAGTCAGGCAGCTTGGGGCTGGATTGTTCTCGGATAAGCTCCTTCGTTGTGGGGAAGGAGGAGAGACTTTAATAAAGGGGTTGACACGTGTCACTCGCGCAAACGTCGCTGACTGACTGGGGCCTGGCACTGCCGCAGAGCTGCCAGGGCTAGCCCCGCGTCGTCTGGTCACCCTCGCTCTCCTCTCGCCTAAAAACTCCTCCCACTTGGTCTGGGGACAAAGGGACGGGAGGACGGGACAGGGACCCAGGAGCTGCTGGGAATCCGGCTCCCCATGCGGCTGCCCTCAAGGGCAACACAGAAGAGCGTCTGCGGTGACGCCGTTGGTGACCCAGGCTCTGCCTGGCGGCCTCACAGGATGCACATGCCTGCACCTCCTCCAAAAGCTTTCTCTTTCTGGTTCCTTCTTGCTGAATGCCCAGTGTCACAGGGCTCTCAGCGATGGTTGTACATTCAGGATACTGAGTGCTACCCCTAGCGTGTGAGCTTTGCCTGTAACATCCTCAAACGGCCCTTGCTCAGGTCACGTTTTATGCTTGTCTACCCAGGAGAGGTCCTTAGGTATCTTAGAGCCGCACTGTCTGATATGGTGGCCAGCAGGCACACGTGGCTACTGAAATTCACGTGAATTCAGGTGAAGCCTCCAGTCCTGCTGTTCACCCAGGCACACACACGCCCTGTGCTCCACGGTCACGCGTGGCTGATGGTGCTCCCCTCAGCAGCACAGCTGTGGAAGGACTCTGCAGTCCTGCCGGCCAGGGCCATCTGAGACACAGATGGGCACTACACAGGCTGCCATGCGCCTCCAGTCCAACGCCCACCTCCCACGTAATGACACTGAAGGCAAGAGACGCTGAGACTCACCCAAGGTTCCCCTCACTCAGACCCAAGTCCAAAAGACGGGGCTTCCTAGGCATTTTCCTCTCGGCGTCATGTCACGTCTGCCCCTAAGAATGCCATCTCTAACGTCACAGGGCCGCCAGGACTGACGCCTGTCACTGTGCAGGACAGGACACTGGGCATCTGCCCCCACCCCTTCCAGAGCCACACACCCAGCACTGGTGCCTCAACCCACTACAAAGGAGGGGTTCTCCCTGCACTGCTCTAACCTCATACGAGGCGGAGTGACAGCGGAAGTGGGCACACACAGACACTCAGCCATGGCACACGGGCAGCAGACAGCAGGCAGCTGGCCCCCACCTCTTACTGAACCATTCTTTCCAGCTCTTCTCGGTGAGCTTTTCCGTAAAACAGTGCTTCTTTGTGCGCTAGAGGGTTCAGATGAGCTTACTTTGGACATAAAACCCACATCATGTTCACACAGCACCATTCACCATCTCAGTTCTCACGTGAATAAAACATTCGGCAGCAGAACCAAGTAGGAGCACAACTGCGTGCAGGCTATCGGCGAGAGAAGAGCCTGCCTCGTGGCTTTACGTAGCCAGTTGAGGGAGGGCTGTGATGGATGGGAGGGCATTTCAGGAAGGGATATTTTGGAACTGAATTTGGTTTTTGGACTGAAAATGAATGAGGCTTTAATTTACTTAAAAGGAAGCCAAAGGGCCAGCGCTGTGGTGTAGCAGAAAAAGCCGCTGCCTGCAGTGCTGACATCTCATAAGGGCACCAGTTCGTGTCCCAGCTGCTCCACTTCTGATCCAGCTCCCTGCTAATGCGTCTGGGAAAGCAGCGGAAGATGGCGCAAGGCTTTGGGTCCCTGTACCCATGTGGGAGACCTGAAAGAAGTTCCTGGCTCTTGGCTTCATATACACTCAGTTCCTGCTGTTGCAGCCATTTGGGGAGTGAACCAGTGGATAGAAGATCTCTCTCTCTCTCTCTCTCTCTCCTTCTCCCTCTCTCTGCCTTTGCTTGCTCTCTCTGCCCCTGCTTGTCTGTAACTCTGCTTTTCAAATAAATAAATTAAAAGAAAAAAAAAAAAAGGAAGCTAAACAAAACAAAAACTGAAACATTCCCCCCAACTAGGGCAACTTTATTGGGATGTACTGTTTACAAGAGTGCCATCTAGTGGCAGAAAGGGCAACTGCGAAAGCTAAAGCTACAAGGTGTATTTGCACCTCAAGTGTTGACTTCACCAGGAAGAAACTGACCAGTGCCTGCACACACACCACTAACGTGGGGAGAGGGTGAAGGGGGTGGGTGACAGCTACAGAAAGGGTTAAAGGCACAAGGGAAAAAAAAAACAAGAAAAGTGAGGTAATGATGCAGTAATTAATCTCAATAATAATCTCAATAAAAGTGCAATATATTTTCTATTCACTATTTCCTTGTTAAATCTTGAACTTGTGGATTTCTTCATATGAGGCTTTATGGTATTTTTCCTCTACCTCTTCAACATGTAATTATTCTACGTCAGCACAGATATTTTTTTAACAAAGTGTTTTTTTTTTTTTTTTTTTTTTGACCTAAGACTCAATGGTCCATCTAGAACAGCCCCCAGTACTTAATCATAACGGTATTACTACCAGATCACTGGCACGAACAGCTCAGGCGTTCCAATGCCCCAACCTAGTTTCTAAGTAGGGCTGGAGAGAGTTCTTTTAGATAATAATTTATTTAAGCAAACGGATGATTTTTGGCCCGATCAGCTAATGTGGAGCACAGTGACATTCTGTTTGGTGTACAGGATGGATAGAGAGACGGCGAGGGGGACATTGATGACCAGAGCAAAGAAAAAGCAGCAGGTGGACAAGACCCCAGATGCTGCTGAGAAAGGCCGTGGAGGGGCTGCAGCATGTGGAACTGCGGGTCCCTGAGGGTTCTTCTAAGGCGGTAGTAGAGGGAAGGCAGAGGTAGCTATGGGCAGAACCAAGCCAGTAACCGGGGGAAGAGCAGAAGCAAGGACTTTGTCCCTAAGGCAGGAGGAGGGGGACACCAAAGAGTTGCGTCATCATCACCGGGAGCCACGGCAGCCAGCGTGCAGCAGACCACACTTCGGCCACTGACAGCACTGCAAACGCAGCAGGCACCAGACGGCCGCCTCCGTGGTGCACGAGCCGCAGGCGTCGGCGCCCAAGCCCGGGACGGCTGGTTTCTCTGAAGGGCAGCACACTAGAGACGTTACAAATGGCAGGGGTGCGGGTAAAAGGAAGACGGCAAGGCGCTGCCCCCGGCCTCCGGAAATCCTGAGTGCTGTGCTACAGAGAGGGCTCCTGCTTGGTGTCTGAGTCTCTCAGTCCTGAGTCTTTCTGTCCTTTTCCTTGTTAAGTGAACACAGGACCAGACACCCAGGGAGTGCTCAGTGAGAAACGCTGAGTAGAGGGGGGAAAAACACCTCAATGGGGCACCTGGGATCAGCTGAGTCACCCCGCGAGAGCTCAGAATGCACTCTGCAGCCCAGAAACTCGGGTGAGCTGAGCGCCTGGTGGGGAAACCGGTCTCAGCCGTGTGCGATCAGCACCTTGCCATCCCCTGGGGTCTTGCTGAAATGTGGGCTCTGCTTCTGCAGGCCTGCAGTGGCGTCTGAGACCCTGCATTCCAGCGAGCTCTCACGTGAGGCTGATGTTCCTGGTCCCTGGCCAGAACTGGAGTGGGGACAGGCTAGGAAACACCAGGCCAGCTCGCCTTTCCCAAAACTAAGCTTTGAGCCTCGTAAACCCTCGACAGGCCACCAGCAATTTCCCACCACCATGTCTTTGCAGGTTCTCCACCTGTTGATCACTTTTTATCTAATAAGAAAATGTTCCTTGGGGCTGGTGATGTGGAGCAGCGAGTTAGGCAGCCACCTGCAGTACTGGCATCCCACATGAGCCCCAGTTCGAGTCCTGGCTGCTTCACTTCTGACCCAGCTCCCTGCTAATGTGCCTGGAAAAGCCGTGGAGGATGGCCCAAGCGCTTGGACCCTCCCTGCACCCAGGAAAGAGACCCGGAGGAAGCACCTGGCTCTGGATCGGCCCAGCTCCGGCCATTGCAGCCCTTTGGGAAGTGAACCAGCAGATGGAGAATCCCTGTGTTTCTGTCTCTCTATGTAACTCTTTCAAATAAATGAATGAATGAATGTTTAAAAACGAAAGTCTTTCTCACACCACCCTGACCTGCCCTAAACTGGTTTCCTGCAGCCTCTGCTCCGTGAGTCATCAGGGTAGGGCTGGAGGCTTTCCTGTCCGTGGCTTCTGCCATGGAGGAAATGGACTTCCCTGAGAGCCCCGTCTTCAGGCGGAGGAAAGGAAAGGGACGCAGAAAGGCCGGGGCGGGGGACAGCACCGCACAGCCCCTTGGGCACACAGCACACACCGCCAGGCTTCACGGCCACAACCATCCACTTGGCGGTGCTGCTACGGCTGAACACGGACCCATCGGCGAGTGACCTGTCTGCCGCGACGACGTTCGGACAGCCCAGGCCACCGCCCTGGGTGCACAGCCGAAGTCTAAGCACCCTTCTGCTCTCCTTCCCTCCTCTTTGGCACCAGGCAGAACATCACGTTCTACACAGCTCCTTGGAGCCCTCTGACTGTCCCCAAACCCTCTCCCTTCATCAGAGCAATGGAGTCCCACAGTGTGATGGGGAGGAGGACTGGGTGCTAATGGCCCAGATGGCCTGGAGGTCGCTGGGGGCAAAGGCCTGTCTCCCTCAGTGGCCAGCGAAGGACGTGGAGAGCGTGCTGCTGGTGTGGGAATGAACAGAACACCTGGCCCGGTCCAGAAGCCATCCTGGAGCGCCTCTCACCTGGCTCTGGTCGAGCGGCAGGTCACCAGGGGGCGCTGGAGTGCAGGGGCTCATCAAGGCCAGCTCTCGGCAGCAGGGTCTGCAAGTGGGACCGGGACCCCTACCTCTTCACACTCGACCTCAGCTTGAGAACAGACATGCCCGTGGCTCAGGGCACATCCAAGGAGTCAAGGTTCCAGTACAGACAGGTGCCGTCAATGGCCCTTTCTGCCATGGTGGCAAAGGGCTGTGGCTGTGAGCACACGCAGCCGTCAGGCACCGGAGAAGTGCCTCTGGAGATGGAGGACCTACACGCCTCCCTTTAATTACTTTAAGTCTGCAGAGCCACTGTGGCTGGTGGCTACTGTGCTGGACAGTGGAGATCTAGATGCTCTCCAATCCCTCAGTGCGGCTGCAGGTCATGATGGCAAGCCCATGTGCGTGTGCGTGTGCGCGCGTGTGTGCGTGTGTGTGTATGCGTGTGGGTTTTCCCTAGAGCCCTCAGACAGTTCCCAACAGAGCTGCATTGAGAACTCACACCGGGTCGGGTCACGCAAGCCTCCACTCCTGCCTTGTCTTTCTATGTTGGTTTGCGGTTTGCAAAGCCACAGGGGCACACAAAGGAACTCGCTGGACAATGGGGCGGCAGGCTGCTAGCTGGAGCCAGAGCCAGTGATCATTTCAATATAAGCACCATCCAAGCGCAGGCCGAAGGGAAATCATTAGCACGGGGATTATTCAGCCGCAGGTGCTGAGAACGCAGATAAACTGGCTCCTGCGTGTGCCATGAGCAGGGCCAGAGGAGCAGCACAAACGCTGCACAGCACGGGGAAGGGGATCTGCAACCCCCGTGCATGCCTGCAGCACAGCCAGCGTGGATTCAGCACTTTAAGCCTGGTTGCCATGGTGGGAAAGGTTCACAGATTAACTGCACTGCCCGCTGGCTGATCCTGTGCAGTGAGGGGAAGTGTTAGGTTTCTATATTTTGGCCACGGTGTGGAGCTTAACAGAATGCCTACCTTAAGATTGACTTCCCAACAGTTAATCTTTTCCTATCACATTTTAGCTTAAAATGTCATTTACAATCTACATCTTATCTACTTCAAAAGTGACTGAAGCTAGCTTACCCTAATCTTCTCCCACGGACATGGTAGAACTGAATTCATTAAAGTGGATTCCTAAAAAGACCCACATAACAAAGGCAAGGAAGAAAGAGGAGGGACTACATCCAAAACCCAGGCTCAGGGTGGGGTGTTGGCATGGCCGCTAAGCTGCCCCTTCGGATCCCCTCGTCCCACATCTGTGGGCCTGGGTTCGAGTCTCAGCTCTGCTCTCCACTCCAGTTCCTGTGAATGCACGCTCTTGGAGGCAGCAGACGGTGGCTCAAGCAGTTGGGTCCCCAGCACCTACGTGGAATGCCTGGGGAGTTTCCTGGCTTTAGCATGGCCCAGTCCTGGCTGCTTTGGGCACTTGGGGAGTGAATCAGTGGGTAGATCTCTACCTGTTTGTCTCAATTTCTGTCTCTTTGCCATTCAAATAAATAAATTAATTTAAAAAAAACTGTTTTTGAAAGTAAAGCAGGAGCCAGTGCTATTGTGTAGCAGGTAACCCCACTGCCTGCAGTGCCGGCCTCCCATATGGGTGCTGGTTTGAGTCCTGGCTGCTTCACTTCCGATCCATTCTCTACTATGGCCTGAGAAAGCAGAAGATGGCCCAAGTGTTTGGGCTCCTGCACCCATGTGGGAGACCTGGAGGAAGCTCCTGGCTTCAGATTGGCTCAGCTCTGGCAGCCATTTGGGGAGTGAACCAGTAGAAAGCAGATGGAAGATCTCTCTGCTTCTGCCTCTCTGTAACTCTGCCTTTCAAATATATAAAGAAATCTTTAAAAAGAAAAAGTAAAGCAGCAGGCATTGTGGCACAGTAAATTAAGTCGTCTCTTGGGACACCTGCATCCCCCCATCAGAGTGTCTGGGTTCAAGTGCAGGCTTCCAATCCAGCTTCCTGCTAATGTGCCTGGGAGGCACCAGATGATGGCTCAAGTGCTTGGGTTCCTGTCAGCCACATGGGAGCCATGAATGTGGTTTCAGGCTCCTGGCTTTGGCCTGGCCCAGCCCTGGCTGTTGTAAGCATTTAAACAGTGAACCAGCCCATAGAAGATTCTCTTTCTCCTTCTGCCACTCTGCCCTTCAAACAAATAAATTAGTGAATCTTTTTTTTTTTTAAAGTAAGGAACAGTATTTTAAAAAAACAAAGAGGAAAAAGAAATAAAGAAACAAAGCAACAGACAAAACAACCCAGGCTGAGAGAAGCCAATGCAATTGAGCGCCAACAGGCAGTTCCCAGATTTCAAGTAATCAAAGCAAAGAAAGGAATTACTGGAGTAGACATCTCTGATTGAACAACACCAGGACTCAAGCCAGTCTTTAGGAGACACGTGTTTTTTTCCTTGGCCTTGAGCTCTAAGGGAAATTTGTCACATTAGGAAAAAAATGGAGTAGGAAATGCAAGAATGTAGCTAGACCATGTCTGACAAAAATGTGAAAATCAGGGATGTTAGAATGTGGCGAAACTTTTACTTAAATATGGCAAAGAAAACAAAATTTCCAAGGGTATCATCAGTGATCTGGGAAGGCGCTTAGAAGCGAGCACATTCCTGATGCTCTCGCATCATGCGATGGTGCAAAACTGACGGCCTGGAGAAATCAGAGCTGGCAAGACTCTAGAGTCTGCATCTTTGGAACATGGGTGCCTTCATGTTTTTATTTTAAAGATTACTTGAAAGACAGTGTGTGCATGTGCAATGAGGGGGAGAGACAGAGTTGGTATGTGTGTGGGGGGCGGGGGGGCTATCTTCCATCCTCTAACTAATTTCCCAAATGCTTGCAGCAGCCAGGAACTCCATCTGGGTCTCCCACATGGGTGGCAGGCACCCAAGTACTTAGTCCGTCTGCTGCTGCCTTTGCAGATGCATTAGCAGGGAGCTGAATTGGAAGCAGAGCAGCTGGGACTCACACTGGTGCTCCAGGATGGGATGGGACGCAGGAGCCGTGACGCAACACTGGCCCCCAGAATGATTTAAACTGGGGTTTGCTCACGAACTGGAGAGACCACTCAAAAGACCAACAAGTATGTGGAGCATGGAAGGTCTTTGGTAGACAGAAAAAGGACAAGTTCTAGGCCCCAGGCGCACGGGCTGTCTTCTGCGCAGGGAGGTGGAGGGGTCTCTTCCATCCCCGGTGTGCAGGCAGCACCCTGCTGAGCTGTCTGAGCACCGACTCCTCCCTTCTCTTCATGCAAACACAGGCCTGAGCAGAACCTGAAACCCCAGGGGCTTCAGCAGCCAGAAAAGAAAACGTGGGTTTCTTACTCTTGGGGCGGGCTCCGGTTCTGGGAGACTTCGGAGTCGCTGTCTTTGGGGCACAGGGGGCCCTTGTATGTGTAAAACACGTCTTCGGTCTCCGTGATGTAGGTCATTTCATTGGCAAGGTTATCCACAGACGAGTGCCGTGGCTTGCGGATCTCGTGCCGGAGCCGAGGACTTCGCCTGGGGTGGGGAAAGGGGAGGGTGTCAAATGGGGGGTGGGGGTGGGGGAGAGGCAACTCCCCCCGGAGAACGGGATGGTGAAGACACCTGCTAGCTAAGCGCAGGGCCGCAAGCGCACCACCCTTCCTGCAGGGGCCTGCGTCCTCGGACCACATATGTCACGCGTCTTCAGTAGCCTTTCCCAAATTTGATTGTGCAGCACATCCGTGGGAAACAGACGCGGAACTAAACTTAACATGCCTCTTTATCACACAGCTGCCCGGGGTGTTGAATGGGTATTGCAATGCCAGGACGGGGCATATCTGCCCGTTATTTTAGTCCAGGGACATCTTTAAAAGAGAACAGTGGCACAGGCAGAGTAAGAGTAACCTTCAATGTTCTACAGCACAGGAGGCTAACTGTGGGCAACGCGACTAATCGTCGCCTTTCAGTGTAAGCATTTTGGGTGTTCTCAAAACACAGGAACGAATGACATCAGAGGTGATGGACGCGCCAAGTGCTCTGATAGGACCATGACGCATTGTGTGCCTGTGCTGAAATACCCCACTGGACCCTGTCAATATGCACAACTGTTGTGCCCATTCAACATAAGAACACGCTTTAAGAGAAGAGCATCTAGGCGTTGTATACCACGGGAAATGCTTAGCTAGGTTTGCGTTCTTCATGAACACAAGTTGCCACTGCCACAGCCCCAGATGCAAATGGAAGCCCCGAGCACAGGCCACGCACGCGGAGGGATCTGTGAGTCGGGGTTCTGTTTTTTGGCAAGAGCTAAAGCTGCTGGCAGGGGGGTGGGCAGAGTGGACTCACCAGTTGGGAGTGACAGGAGGGGACCGGGAAGGCAGGCTCTTGGTTTCCAGATGCTCCACCGACAAAGATCTCCGCATGGCTGGGTTCCACACCATCCCACCAATCACCTTTTTGCAATATTGGTGATTTACAGACCTGGAAAACCAGAAGCAGTTTCACTTTCCACACTGACACGCTCAACCACAAGGACACGGGAGGCCACCCGCTTCTCCTGGGCAGATGCTGCCAGCACGCGGAGGTCAGCGGCCGCGCGGACAGCGTCCACAGCCAGTCCCTTCTGGCTTTCCTTATGTCACATCATCTCTTTTGCCGCCTGGTCCTCACTACTTCAGGTCGCAAAGTTGCCTCCTGAACCAACCAAGCCTTTCCAGGTTAGAAGCAATTCCAGGATAACACAGGAACACAGTTCCCATCACGCTAAGGAATTCTCACGCAACCCACGCTACAATGAGGAGAGACATCAACCCTTCTCCCAGACGCTCTCGCTCATCTTAGCAGGTGGAAGCCACTGCCGTCCATCCCTGGGCGCTCTTGGCGAGAGAGCCCCAGAATACACTTAGGAAGTGACTTCCAGCCCCGTTCCTTGAACATGCTGCCCTGCAGGTAACTTCTGAATTTTACTGACAGCTGACAGCCAGAGAATCTCAACCTTCGCATTAGAAAATGCATTATTTCAGAGGAGGAGTCTGGATCTCCACTTTGGAAATTCACATTTTCAGTTCTGGTGTTTGTAAACTGTGATCTATGTCTCATGAGAACATTCTCCGCCTCTCCTTGTGACTGCCAATCATCCAAGCACAACACAGAAGAACAAAGAACAAACGAAAGCACAAACACAGTACAGAACTCCTCTTAGAATATCCTGCACGTGCGCAGCAACAGGGCTGGGGCCACCCTCATCATGATGCTCATGGTGGCGGGGACAGGAGCATCTCCCTGCGGAGACAGGCTGGCTGGCCTTGCTACCACAGTGCCCCTGACTCAGGCCAGAGTGTCAAAACCAGGGGAGTGAGCTGCACAACCCCAGGGCCTCTTGGAACAGATTCCCAAAACCCGTGTCACATGTTACTGATAGACTCCTGGAAAAAGTATTGCATCATTCCACAGGCTTGGGAAACACGGACCTCATTTCTTTACGTGGACCCTTTCAGAGGAGGGCACGTGCGTGTGTGTGGACATCTCTCCTCGGTGTTGGGCGGATCACGCAACCTCTCAAGCCTCCCTATCTGCCAAAGAGAGGTGATGGCAATGGGAACTCCCCAGGAAGAGGAAGTCAGCCCTGAGAGTCAAGATCTGCTGCCGAGGGGCACCCCACACCCCCAGTGACCCCCTCTGATGCACGCAGGGCAGCAGCAAGGGCTGTGACGCTGAACCTGGGCCGGCCTGTGACCGCTGCCATCAGCAGAGGTGCTGGGCCAGTTCTGCCCTTAAGGGGCCCGACCAGTTCTGTCTTTGGAGTGAAGGAAGCTCAGCGACACTGCCGGAGGGCCCACCTGAGCAGGCCAAGGGTCTGGGTGAGTCCAGGCTTCCGGGCGCTCCACCAAAGCACTGGGCATGCGAGAGAAGTTGTCTTGGCGCCTTCTCACCCAGAAATCCCACTGTTATTCAAAATTGCCTGGGGCTAGCAGGATTTCAGATTTTGGAGTTTTTTTCAGTTTTGGAATATTTGTCTAAACTTAATGAGTTGAACATCACTCATCTGAAAATTGGAAACCCTTGTGACACTCAAGACGTCTCAGAATTGGGAGCATTTTGGGTTTTTGGGTTAGGGACGCTCAACCTGTACCACAAGGAGTGGAAGAATCCTCTGGCCAAGCTGTTCCCAGATTTCCGACCCACAAAATATGGAGGTACACCAGCATGGTTGTTGACTTAAGCCGCCAAGATAGGGGTAGCCAACCCAAATTCATACTGAAGTCCAATAAATTACTTTTATATGTTTATTATAACAGAGCTAATGAATGTATAAAAACACACAATAGATGGGGGAGGCGTTGTGGTGCTCTGAGTTAAGCCACCACTTGGGGCACCCATGTTCCCTATGCGAATGCCTGTTTAAGTCCTGCTGTGCCACTTCTGACCCAGCTCCCTGCTAATGCACTGGGGAGGCAGCAGATGATGGCTCTAGTGCTTGAGTGCCTGCCACCCATGTAGGAGACCTAAATGGAGTTCTTGGCTCCTGGTTTTGTCCTGGCCCAGTCCTGGCTGTTGCAGTCATTTGGGGGAATGAACCAGAGAATGGAAGATGTCTGTCTCTTTCTCTCTGGCTTTCAAATAAATAAAATAAATCTTTAAAAAATATTAGGGTGCCAGAGCTGTGTTCCATACAGACAATAATTTGTGTCCCAGCTGCTCTACTTCAGATCTCGCCCCCTGCTAATAGCCTGGGAAAAGCAGCAGCAGATGGCCCACGTGTGTGGACTCCAACCACCCACGAGGGAGACCCAGATGAAGCCCCTGGCTTTGCCCTGGCTCAGTCCTGGCTCTCTCTTTTCTCCCTCTAACTCTGACTTTCAAATAAATAAATAAATAAATAAATCTTAAAAAAAATACTCGACAGAATTTAAGAGCTAAAAACTTGAGGAATATATTTACTCTTGGCTAAGAGAAGACACTAAGCGAGAATATTTAGCACCATACACATCATTACTGATCCTGATAGAAAAAAGTCGCTGAACTGTCTAAGGTAGTTCCACACATCTGACAATGGCTCAGACATAGGTCTCATTTATTTAGTAACAGCCACATCACCAACAGCAACAAAATCACAAACATAATTTTGAGAAGCCAACAAATGATTTTGAAATTCTAAGAATAGCTTGAAAAACAATGTCTGCTACCTCTTATATTTAGAAGGCAGTCTGAGAACAAAGAAAGAAAACAAAAGGAAAAACTGCATGGTGGCTTCATTTAGCGACTAAATAAATTTTAATCCAGGTAAAAATTTATGTCAATTATATATAAGTTAATATATATATTTCTGCTACTGTACTAGTGATTAAATATTGTTAATGTCATTCGGTGGATAACAGTACCTGTCTCACAGACAGTGAGAGTTAGATATAATTACAACCATGCCTGGCATTAGATATAATTAAGAACATGCCTGGCATAAGTGCTCGGTAACTGCCAACTAGAATTACTACTATTATTTTGGAATTATTATAGGCAGCATATCCCAAAGTCACCGGACTCCACAAATCTTTATTCTCTTCACCGATTCATTTACAAAATTCATTTATTTGAAAGGCAGAGAGACAGACAGATGGACAGGAGGTTCCCATCCACTGGTTCACTCCCCAGATGCCCACCATGGCTGGTACAGGGCTGCGTCAAAGCCAGGAGCCAAGAACTCAAGCAGGTCTCCCATGTGGGTTGCAGGGACTCAATTACTTAGGCCGTCACTGCTGCCACGCAGCATCTGCATTAGCAGGAAGCTGGGGTCGGAGGCCAGAGCCCAGTATTGGATCCAGGTACTCCCACATGGGACCCGAGTGAGGAACGTCTCAACCGGTGTCTGAACTGCTAGGTCAAATCCACCCCACCCACCCCCATTCATTTTCATGGAGCGTCGTAGGGAGTTAATGTCAACGGGAGAGGCTGGCTTGGTGACACCGGGTTGGAAAAGGCTGGTGCTGGGATGACGCCCAGGGTCACGGCCACGCGCTCCTTTACTGTGACGTGGTCGGGGGCGGCTGCAGTTCTGCTTGCTTGGGAGCTCTGAGGCCAGCGGCTGGGGGGCCAGAAACAAATGCTGAGAACATGGACACCCCTGAGCACGGGCGACTGCTGGCCAGGGTACGCTGCCCTGGGCTGTCCACCCCCAGGGGCCACATCTCATCTCCTGTGGACAGTGTCCCCGGAGCATACTCACTTTTTGGGGTTCCTGGCACCCAGGGTCCAGTACTGCGAGAGAACATTCTTCTCCTGAGGTAGCAGCTTCTTTGCCTGGAAGAACGTGTGGTGCTCCACGCAGGACTTCCACAGGTTCTTGCACGAGCGGTAACTGAGCATGTTGAAGGCCACGATGTGCTCCCTGGCTTCGGTCTGGGAGGAACAGTGCCAGAGCGGCCATCAGCATGGGGGAGGGGCGGGGGCGGGAGCAGGGCTTAATGTGGTCGGTGACAATCAGATGGCAGGACACAGGCTTGGAGACCGCCGTGGTCACCCCCAGCGTGATGGGAGTGTTTCTGAGCAGGAAGGGGTGCCCACCTTGATGACAGTGATGATACAGGTGACAGGAATCTACTCTTTATCACCCAGGGTCCCTTACGAAAGCATTTCCTCCGAACCTGCTCTCCTTGCTGAGTTGGATATATTTGGAGCAACCAGACAAGGACGGTCTGATCCATTCCTTTTTGGATTTAGCCCCAGGAACATCTCTCCCCTATTGGACAATGGCGACTTTAGAACCCTTTGGGTTTCTTTATTTGCCTCCCAGAGAGCACAGGGTTAAATCCAGTGCTCAGAAATGAGAATTGTTTGCTTTATGTTCATTCTATGTGAGTTCAGGTTTAAGGCTTTTATGTTAAATGCTATCCTCATCATTTGGTGCTACCCAGTGTCCTGCACTGTGGGGCTTCGGCCACCCAGGTTCTCGTCCTATCTGAGCTCTAGTGTTCTCATTTCCAAGTTCGCTGCTATGCAGGGCCATTTTTAGTACATATTATCTTTTGAAAAATTGCGAAATGGACATAGTGACGGTAAGTGAAAACCATGCAGTGGAACAGGACCAAGCGAGGGGTCGTGGGAAGAGCAGGCACCTTGGACTCCTAAGGATCGGGTTCAGATTCCAGCTCCCCCAATTCAGCAGCTGTGGGAGCCGCAGTTCCCTGACCTCCAGGTCTTACTTCCCCCGCGGCTCAGCAAACTGAGCGATGGACGTGCCGTGGACTCCTCTTAGGGAACACGGCCGGCCAGCCACCGTGCCCTCTGCACATATCAAGGGAAGAAGCTGACCCTGTGGGCATGCACTGCCGCTCTGTGGAGGGCTCTGGGGGGCGTCTCCACCCTGATGCTCTTTTATTTCATCCTCACAGTTCCCTGAGAAGTGGGCTTGACTGCATTTCCGGAGACAAGGGAACACAGGCTAGGGCATGCTCAGTCACCTGCCCAGTGGCTAAGTGGAACAGCCAGGATCTGAACGCACTGTCTCTGCCTCCAAAGAAGCAAATTCCCCAAGCGGAGACGTGGAGGGAACGACACAGAGACCGCTGGGGCTCTGAACCCTGCCGCCATCACCATGCCACGCTCCTTCCTCCCTGCTAAATCACTGGCAAAGATTTGCCAAGCCCTGGACGACACTGAGAGCTGAAGTCGCTTACAAAAGACAAGACACAAAGCAGGCGTGGACATAACTCACCTGTTTTTGTCGCTGATGTATAAAGAACTTTTTCCTTTTGAAAGAAATTTTGAGGATGTTTACCCTGCAAAAAACATACAAGAACACAAATAGACAAAAAACAAAAAACAAAACAAAATAGAAATCAAACACAAACATCAGGCACCAGCCAGGCTGTGGCTCATGCCTCTCTGCTGTGGCATCTATTCCCCGAGCCTGGGGGCTCTCGGCTTCCTGGCCTATTTCACTGTAGAAGCGGTGACAGCCCTGTCGCCTCAGCCGAGTGCCAAGGATCTAACTGAGCTGAGCATGACACAAGAGCCCTGGATTATGATGTGGCCTTTAAATAACAAGAAGCAGGGGAAGCGCGCTCTCCCTGCCCTAAGCTTCTTTCATGACCCAGCTGCTCTGCAGCGGCCGGTGGAGGCGTGGGGAAGACAGTTGGGGGCAGTGTGGAGCAGCAGAGCGAGCACTGGCCTGGGTGGGCCTCCCAGCTCCATGACTTCATCGTCACGTGTCAAGTGTGTGAACAGAATCCCGGCCACGCTTCACTGAGCACTGTCTACACACAGGCCGCTACAAAGGACCTTACAAACAAACATCTCCAATTGAGCCTGGCAATGATCTCTAAAAGCATGGATTGTTGTGCCCAGTTTTCAGATGAGGAAGCTGAGGCTCAGACACGTGACCCAGGTGCTGGAGATGATTCAGCCAGGAACGCCTGCAGCCAGGATTTGAGTCTCACGTGCCCCCAAGCCTGTGCATTTCCCCAGGGGGTTCCCTGTTGCACGTGGCTATGCAGTATATAATACAGGCAGGCAATCTGTTGGCAGGGGGAGCCGTTAGACAACTGAGTTAAAGTGCCCGGTCTGGTGCGTGTCACAGGCTACCCACCACTTCCCCGAAGGCAGTGAGGGTCCATGTGGCCATCATGTGCCAAACAGCAGATGCTGGTGCGTGCCTCTGTTCTGCAGAATGAGCCCAGGCTCTGCCTTTTCACCCTTAGGCTGCTCTGGCCCCTGGGAATCTGTGCTTCTCCTGCTCCCCCACTAGTCTAGATCAGGGGGCCCCTGTGCTGGACACTGCCTTGTTCAGAGGACTCCCACAAGCTGACGCCAGTCTCTGGACTTGACAGCTTTCTCTCCCAGAGCTAACCCTATACGGGGCAAACACAAACTATGAGGTTCCTGGGTGTAAGGCCCAAAAGTGGCTCCCAACTGCCCTTCACTCATTCATAAGGGAAAAAGCAGAGGGTACAGAGGGTCTTGCTGTATTGTCTTGGGGATGGAGGAGACCAGAGAGTGGGCACTGACAAAGTTACAATGGAGACAGGCACTAAAGAAATAATGATGCATATACAATTAAATCACTGCTTGTGTGTCCACTGCATGCAGGAGTCCAGTGTCTCCTGAGAGTATGAAGGACTCTCCATGAAGGCCCCTCCAGGGCCTCCATGCCCTGGAGGCCCAGCCTCTCTCCTGGGACTCCCATGCCCACACCATGTTCCAGCCTGACCCATCCACCTCCCCACCTCCTCTGTCCTCCCTTGTCTTGCAACCTGCGTGCGCACACACACACACACACACACACACATGTTGTACCTATAGTCTAGAATTGATTCTCTTGGGTCAACATCCAGGTGGTCTTCAGACCTTGTCTGGAGTTCACTGGCATGGGCTCAGCGCCCTTCCCGCATCCCGCCCTTCATGGGCACCTCACCATGCAGTGCCAGCCTCCCTGCGGCTCTCTGCTGCTGGCACTAGAGGCGGGGGCCAGGCCTCTCCAGGAGCCAGCCTGATGCTGAAGGGTAAGGGGGCTTTGACAGGTCTGTGGGTGAGCCTGGGGTGGGGGGCGGGGGACCTCCAGGAAAGGGTGCTCTTTATGCACCTGCTTCTCAGGATCAAGTCACCCACCTCCTTCCTGACATGGCCTCATGGGACTCACAACTCCCATGAAACGTGACAGTCCAGCCTCTGTCTGTGGGACCTTAGGAGGTTCCTAAGCTGGACCCAGGCAGCTCCAGACCTATGGCAGCTAGGGGGAGCCCTGAGCCTCTGGTGGGGCTTGCAGAGGAAAAATGAGCCCTGACTTCCTCTCCTGCTGCTGCTGTTTTGCCCACACTCCATCTTTTTGACACATTTGCACTTTTGCTTCTGCATCTCTGCCCGCCTGCAGCAAGTGCTCCCTCTCCCCAGCCGCCCTGACACGGCTGTCCCACCCCATCCTGTGCACCACCACGCTGTCACCTGCGACGACGGCCTTGCTGCGGTGTCAGCTCCCCTGAACAAGGCTCCCCGTTGTCGGGCGCATTTTAAACTCGACCTTCAGTGCCATTTGGCGCCAGGAAGCCCCTTTTCTCTGAGGTTTCCGGTCCCTGCGGACCACTGTGGCCTGAAAATGTCCGCATTTGTCTCGACTCTTTCAAGAGAGTGAGTCCACAACGCCACACCTTTCGGTGACAGCCCATGGCTATAATTGTTCTATTTTAGTCCTCACCCTTGTTATCAGTCTCTTCCTGTGCCTGATTTGTAAGTCAAACTTCCCCACAGGTGCAGATGTGTCAGGAAAACCATGGTGCACACAGGGCTCAGGGCTGTGTGTAGCTTTGGGCATCCACGGGGGCTGCTGGGACTCGTCCTTCATGGACAAGATGGTGGTGCAGCCCCCCTCGCTGGCTGCCTCGGGTTCTGCCCTCCCACCAGGCCCAGGCACATGCGTCTTTGGGGGTCCTGAGTGCTTAGAACCAAGCTAGACACTTGGTCACAAGTTCAACCAGTAACCAAGGGACAGAACTAAAAAGAGACAGCTTTTCCCCAGAGCAAGCCCAGGGAAGGTTCCTTAACTGTCAGGCTTGTCTGTTTCCTCTGCCCCACGTGCCATGTTGCCACAGAGGACCCCAAACCACGGGCTGACACAGGGGGAGGGGGAGGGGAATGGAGGGGGCAGAACGCTGGTATTCCCAAGCGCTCAAACTGGGTGGACTTCAGAGGTCAGAGGTTAAAACCTGGAGGAAACGTTCCATCCCTTCTTTAACGATCAAAGTTCAATGTTAGCCAACAATGCTGCTCTTGCTCAGCACATTCTTACAGCGTGATTCAGAAAACCGTTCAGGCTGGTGCTTACCAAGGGTAGAAACTCGTGCAGATGTGTTTCCTGTACACAGCGATGCCCGCCGAGGCCACTCCGATGGTGAGATCTAAATGGTGTAGGTCCTGCCGAGAGGAAGAGCTCAGGTTCACAGTGGGCCGCCCTCACCCAGTGCCCTTCCTGCCTCTACCGAAAAGCAGCCTCTCTCCAGAGGGCAGTGTCACCCAGAAAGGGCAGAAGTCCCCGTTTAACAGAGCCTTAACTTCCAAGAACAAATGCCTGTCAGTCCCCCTCCCCCAACACTGGCTGTCAGCGACGCCTGGTTTAGAAAGCTACCAGGTGAGCCCGCCCATTCCACAGGAGCATTGAAATAAACACCCCGTTTCAAGTTTTTCCGCAATGGGCGCTCAGCAGCCATATTACGATCAGAAAGCCCTTGATCCCTGCACAGCTTTACACAAAACTCCACTCCCATTCGCGGAAAGGCATTATTCAGCTACCACGATGGCCACGGGAATTTAGAAGGGCACGGATGCTGATTGTAGACGTGACCGAGAACTACACGGTGCTTCTAAGCCCAACAGAGCTGACACTGCCGCTGAGCCTGTGTGCAGCGCGCTGCCGCAGACAACGAGAAGCAGCAGGAAGCAAAGAGGGGCCCCGGGCTGTTTTCAATCAGTCTGAACACAAAGTGAGCAGAAATCAACAGACATTTAAAATAGTACAGTCCCTGCCCTTGATATTCCAGTCTCCCATCAGATGCTTAGGAAGGAGGGGCAGAGTGTGAGTTAGCTGCGGCCGAGCGTGAATCCCGGGTGTGCCACTTGCTAGCCAGGCTGCCTTGGACCTCCAGATTTCAATTTTTCCTGGTTATCATAAAGATGACAGGACCCATCTTGCAGGCTGATGTGGGAGCATAGAATAAAGAATCTAAACAGGACATGGCACATGGAGTTTTCTGGAACAGGGCTTGGCTTGTGGTAGGAACCATGAACCTTCCACTGCAGGACAGATGGTTTCCCAACAGCAACGTGAATGTGGGGAGTTTGAGAAACTGGACAGGGACGCCAGTGCTGATGCAGGAGGCAGGCTGGGAAGGCACATGACAGGGATCCAGCTGAAACCATGTGCACAAAGCAGAATAAACCTGCCTGATAGGAGGACAGGCGTCATCAAACCAGACGCCTCCCATCATAATGCAGTCAGCTCTTTTGTTTCCATGGGTTCTGCGTCCACGCTTTCAACCACAGATCAAAAACATCAGGGAAAACAGGTACATACTTTCTCCTTGTCATTATCCCCTACACAATACAGCATGACAACTACTTACAGTGCATTTACATTGTATTGGGTATTCTGAGACCTCTAGAGATGATTTCAAGTTTCAGGAACAATGTGCCTAAGCTGTATCTATGCAGATTCTAGAGCATTTTATACCAGAGACTTGGGCATTGCAGACATTGGTACACATATGTGTGTGCGTACGTGTGTGCGTGCTGGGACCAGCCCCAGGGGGTACTGGGGGATGACTGTGAAGGGAGATAGCAAGCAGGTGTAACAAAAGACCGACTTGGTGAATTAAATCAAAGGTGAGTACATAAGGAAATAGATGAATGGTTTTAGTGGGCCAAAGACTGGGTCTTTCAGTCTGCACCTCAACCCCCGTTATCAAGGGCAGTTACTGCTCCCCAAACTCCTACACCCACCCCTTGTTTCACAGCTGCTCCTGGGGCCCTGCAAGTAGTCGTGCACTTTGGCAGAAGTGATGTGTCTCTTCTGGGCTGCAGCGTTGAAAAGCAGGTGTGCAACTCTCCAGCTAGCACAGGTACGGTGGTCTCAGGGGAAGACAGTACAGCTGTGAGCTGCAAGTGGCCTGGATCCTGACTTACTACCTGGGGGGAGGGGAGGGCAGCCCTGAGAGGTGCCCAGGCCCTGGGGCAGACCTGGCACTACTGAGAAATCAGCTTTGTGCTCTCAAGTTATTGAGACTGCAGGGGTTTGAGTTCACATAGCACAGCCTCGTGAAACCCAACCTCCTCTGACACCAGAGAGGTCTCCTTCAGGCAGGAAATGGGCTGGCCTCCGGAGGCCGAGGGGGCACTGCCCTGGGGGTCCTGGAGGGGGCGGGTGCACAGGTCTACTCAGGCCGGCACCAGGCCTGCCTCCTACTGAACAAAGGTCTACGAGACCTCTATCCCAAATGCAGTATTATTGGCAACTGGGAGAAAATTGAGTCAAATCCCCAGGTAGGTATTTTGTAAGACCCAATATCTTTTTCGTGACTTTATTAACTAAGTCACAGCGTGCCTACCTCTTAAGGCTGTTATGGCACTGAAGAGAAACAAAAACAGATTCTATGAACTGAAATCTGTATAAATTGCAAAAAAAAAAAAAAAATTACACTCCCTTAAACTTTGATCACAGATGCACTCAGCAAAGCCTCAGCTTTCTCACCTGTGAAACATACACTGACTGTTCAAGGATTCCACAATCCTAAAATCAGAGTCTATGGCTTCTTAGAAAAGCAGCTAGAACAAAGTCTGGCAATTGTTCAGTTAATGCTTGCTTCCTTAGGCTGTGATGTGAACCACTTAACAGGCGGAAAATGTTACTGCTGTCACTGCTGAAAGGTCAAAAGCCAGCTAGACAGTATCACGTATGGAGCCACTACTCATGCGCTCTGTGACCTTTGCTACCATCATGAGGATGTTTCTCCACCTGTAAAATGGGGAGAACCATAATACTTATTAGCTCAGTGCTAACCCTAACCCTTAACCTTAACCCTAACCCTAATCCAAACCCAAACCCAAACCCTAACCCTAACCCTAACCCAAACCCTAACCCTAACCCTAATCCAAACCCTAACCCTAACCCTAACCCTTAACCCTAACCCTAATCCAAACCCTAACCCTAACCCTAACCCTAACCCTAACCCTAACCCTTAACCCTAACCCTAACCCTAACCCTAATCCAAACCCTAACCCTAACCCTAACCCTAACCCTAACCCTAATGTCCTGGGAGAAGTACATTAATCCACTGGCACACGGGAACTGCTCAGTAGGTGACAAGTATAATCTGCTGTTTTAAAAATAGCTACCAATTTAAACCAATTTATTGATTTTCAAATGCATAATGCTTTTTAAACAACTATCATATTTGAACAACTAGCTCCAATTTTGGTAGGACTTACAATTAAGTAGCAGATACCCTGGCTCATTAAACTGTCACTGGAAAATGGACTTACATACTTTTTTTGCTTCTTTAACCACAAGATGAAATGATCTTACAAAAATCACAAGAGTCTAGCAGCCTGACTTCTTTCAAGGAAAAAAACCCTTCAAATACAAAAGTAAACACACACACACACACAGAAGAAAACACCTGGTAAATGACCAATGAAACTCAGTGTTTACCAAATGAACCTTCCAAATAACTCTAAAAAGGTCTTCTTTGCTACAATGGAAAAGAGTTTCATCAGAGAGATTTTCAGACTTTCAGAATATAAAATGACAAAACAATTCAGACCCCAATCGTGTCTAGGATACATACCCTACCACTGTGCAGCTCCACCCCGTAGAAGTCGAGGGTCCGTGCTATGTTGATAAAGCAAGATTCTGCTTCTGACTGCTTTAGCCCACTGCGGAAGAAAAGAATTAAAAAATTCTCTCAATAATAGAAGATATAATGCCAATTTAAGAAATTTTTAAAAAAAACCCCAAAACTTGGGTTTTCTAACCAAACATTGCCCTAGGTTAATAAACACCTTTTAAAATCAATCTTAAATAATATAAATCTAAATTCTACCAAACCAGGTTTTTCTTCCTGTCTGCTGAATTTGACTGCATTTCATCTTCTCATTTTTTTTTTTTTTTTTTTAAGTTAAACAATACTCCCTATCTTGTGGGTTCCCAACAGGCAGATGGAGAAGGCCGTTGCCTGTCAGAATGCCTACCCGGCTTGTTCCACGATGCTGAATTAACCTGTCACCTTGAGGTCTTTCTGCCTTTATGCCTTCAGCAGTGGCCACAAACTTCAAAACGCCACTGGCCCAGTACTATTTCAGGACGCTGACTTCTGCCCGGGCGATCGCTCTGGGAGAGGTTTGGCAGTGTCTACTGAGAAGGTATGCCGGTTGCTTGGTCTTTGTTTTGATGGCCTTCCTAGGCTCCCTTGGGAGCCGGCCTCCTGAGTCAGGACAGGGAAGGGGAGGCTGGAATTGGGCCTATCTGTTGCACCTGGGGCTGCCCCGAGGTGGCTACTGAAGCCCGGTGCTTCCTCCTTGGTATGAAGGTGACAGCCACCAACTGAACCCGGGGAGGCAGGGATTCGGCCAGCCTGTCCGTCTGTCCCCTTCTTAACAATCCCCGAACTAATGGCCCATCGTGGTGACTGCGGCAAACTGCTAAAAAGCTGACTTGCTAAGGTGAATTTGCGGGGTGACGGATTGCAATGGGACATTCCATTCCCACCTTAGCTGACTTCAAGGCCAGGCTGAAAAGGATGGCAGTGGCCATCATCCTCAGCCCTTACTGGACTGCACCCTTCACAGAAATGAGCCTGATGCCAGATCTGTCACCCTGGCAGCTTGAAGGCTCCCCCGCCCCCGCCCCCAGCATCCTGGAAGAGGAGTCATGAGCCAACGTGAGATGTCACGTTGAACGCCAGGGATGCGACGCCTGCAAATCCCCAAAGCAGGTGTCTGGAGCACTTCCTCCTCACCTGTGCTGCTCGTGCAGAGACTCCACTTTTGCTAAAAAGTCCCTGTTTTGATCCGGAATAAACTGACTGTCGGCAAGATAGCCTGGCTGATGCACGGAAGAATTGTAGTCTCCGAAATGAGCTGGGAAGATAGAAGGGGGGGGGGGGGGGCAGTCATGAGCTTTGCCTTTGCAATACGGTCTGTGTTTACAAGCATCTGTAGCATCACCAGAGAAACAGGACTCGGAATATTCTTCCGGGACATTCTGCCACCCCATGACCTGCTACCACGCATTAGCTCCAGGTCCCTACGTGTCATCCAAAGCCTGGCTGGATACGGGCTAAGTCCTGTCACCTGTGATCCAGCCCAACTCTCATGTCCCAGAGGTCACACAGGAATAGAACCCAGGGCCTCTTTTAATATTTTTTTATTTACTTGACAGGTAGAGTTATAGACAGTGAGAGAGACAGACAGAGAGAAAGGTCTTCCTTCTACTGGTTCACTCCCCAAATGGCCGCTACGGCTGGTGCGCTGCGCCGATCCGAAGCCAGAAGCCAGGTGCTTCCTCCTGGTTTCCCATGTGGGTGCAGGGCCCAAGCACTTGGGCCATCCTCCACTGCCCTCCTGGGCCACAGCAGAGAGCTGGCCTGGAAGAGGAGCAACTGAGACTAGAATCCGGCCACCCCTATGGGATGCTGGCACCGCAGGGGGAGGATTAACCAAGTGAGCCACGGTGCCGGCCCCCCCAGGGCCTCTTTTAGTCCCAAGCCCCCTCCACAGTCATGGTCAGCAGCTGGCACTCATTCCTGGGTAAAGAAAAAGCAAACCGACTGGGGAAAATGCCCCATCCTGTATGCCCTGGGCAGGAGTTCTGCCGCCCCCCACGGTTATAGTGACACTGGACCAAGCTGCTCCAAGCAATGGGTGTGAACAGGAGACGGCGTGTGGACCTGATCGCTCTCTGCATCATGACCCGTCCCTGGCACTCAGGGAAGTAGGAATGGGGGCACCATGTGTTTGTAGGCCACAAGGGGAGTGGTAGGGAAGGTGGGGCTGAAGGGTCAGGGCCCTGGCAAGGCCTGGGACAGGGTTCCCAGGGAGAAGAACATGTCCCAGGGAGAATCAGAAGATAGGATCTGTCGGCCGTCTCAGCGGGGAGCTGCAGCTGCAGCTGGAAGAGGAAGTGGGGTGGGGGTCTTACGGATACACTTCAGATTGGCCGCCGACCCAAATGGTTCTTCTCAAAACGTGATAGGGGCCAGTGCCGTGGCTCAATAGGCTAATCCTCCGCCTGTGGCGCCGGCACACCGGGTTCTAGTCCCGGTCGGGGCGCCGGATTCTGTCCCGGTTACCCCTCTTCCAGGCCAGCTCTCTGCTGTGGCCAGGGAGTGCAGTGCAGGATGGCCCAAGTCCTTGGGCCCTGCACCCCATGGGAGACCCGGATAAGTACCTGGCTCCTGCCATCGGATCAGCACAGTGCGCCAGCCGCAGCGCGCCGGCCATGGTGGCCATTGGAGGGTGAACCAATGGCAAAGGAAGACCTTTCTCTCTGTCTCTCTCACTGTCCACTCTGCCTGTCAAAAACAAACAAACAAACAAAAACAAAAAAAACTGTGATGGGGCCGGTGCCGCGGCTCATTAGGCTAATCCTCCGCTTGTGGCGCCAGCACACCGGGCTCTATTCCCGGTTGGGGCACCAGATTCTGTCCCGGTTGCTCCTCTTCCAGGCCAGTTCTCTGCTGTGGCCCAGGAGGGCAGTGGAGGGTGGCCCAAGTGCTTGGGCCCTGCACCCGCATGGGAGACCAGGAGGAAGCACCTGGCTCCTGGCTTTGGATCAACGCAGTGCGCCGGCTGAAGCGCGCCGGCCATTGGGGGGGGTGAACCAATGGAAAAGGAAGACCTTTCTGTCTCTCTCTCTCTCACTGTCCACTCTGCCTGTCAAAAAAAAACAAAAAAACAAAAAAACAAAAACCAAAACCAAAACCAAAACCAAACCAAACCAAACAAACAAACAAACAAACGTGATAGGAGGGGCTGGTGCTGTGGTGTAGCAAGTAAAGCTGCTGCCTGCAGTGCCAGGATCCTTGCTTCAAGTCCTGGCTGCTCCACCTCTGATCCAGCTCTCTGCTATGGCCTGGGAAAACAGTGGAAGATGGCCCAAGTGCTTGGATTCCATGTGGGAGACCCAGAGGAAGCTCCTGGTTCCTGGCTCTGGATCGGCAAAGCTCCGGCTGTCACAGCCATTTGGGGAGTGAACCAGTGGATAGAAGATGATCTCTCTCTCTCTCTCCTCTCCTTCTGCCTCTCTGTAACTCTGCCTTTCAAATAAATAAATAAATCTTAAAAAAAAAAAAAAACCTGATAGGAATCATTGATGCTTGGGATCTCATGAGTATCCCTGGGAGCCGGCCCAACCCATACAACTGCACATGGCTTCCTAAATACTCAAAGCATTAGGGTGTCTAGACTGCGGACGACACTGTGAGAAGGATCCTGGGTGAGGAGTCAAGGACTGGGCTGGTGGAACCTAGCAGCACACATTTCCCTTCCCCAACACTCAGCTTTCCCCTTTGTATAAAAACAGGAGTGAGATGACCGTTAGCTCTGATAGTCTGAGCTACCATTCCACTTTCTTGACAAAGAGCTTTCATTTTATCTTTTTCTTAAAAACATTAACCTTGAGGGGCCAGCATTGTGGTGTAGTGGGTTAAACCACTGCCTCCAACGCCAGCATACTATATGAATGCCGGTTCAAGTCCACTTCTGATCCAGCTCCCTGCTAATGCTCCTGGGAAAGCAGCAGAACACGGTCCAAGTAATTGGCTGTCTGCCACCAACGTGGGAGATCTGGATGGAGTGTCAGGCTTCTGGCTTTGGCCTGGCCCAGCCCTGGCCATTGCGGCCATTTGGGGAACAAACATGTAGATGGAAGATCTAACTAACTCTGCCTTTTGAATAAATAAATAAATCTTTATAAAAATATATTAACCTTGATCTTTCCAAAAGTTCTCATGAATTTCTTTCTGCAGCTGGCTCGAATGACGGTGTCTGAGGGCTCTCAGCATTGTATCAATTCAACCCAGAGAATTTTAGGATCATTTTTTTAAAAAGACTTACTTTATTTGAAAGGCAGAATTGGAGAGAGAGAGAGAGAGAGAGAGAGAGAGAGAAAGAGAAAGAGAGAGAGACATGGAATTGATCTTCCATCCTCTGGTTTACTCCTCAAATGGCAACGCTGGCCAGAGTTGGGCCAGACTGAAGCCAGGAGCCGGCAGTTTCTTTCGGGTGTCTCACATGGGTGTGGGGGCCCAAGGACTTGGGCCATCTTCTACTGCTTTCCCAGGTAATAGCAAAGAGCTGAATAGGAAGTGGAGCAGCTGGGACTCAAACTGGTGCCCATATGGAATGCCGGCACCACAGAAGACAGCTTAACCCGCTACGCCACAGCGCTGGCCATCTAGAGACTTTCTAAGCCAAATTCCCTCTCGGCCACAAGAGCAGCGTTTAGGAAGGCTGTGGGAAGCTTCCTGGTCATGTTTTCCTTTATGTCTGCTTAGCCCTGCTAGTCCCCATGTGCCCTCACACCACAGGGCTGCTCCGGGAGACTTACTCTGTTACCTCCTCACACTGTTCCCTGCAGGCTGGGGGCGGGGCAGAGTCACTCTCAGGGCCTGGCAGCAAGCACACACAGTAGGGTGCTCAGGGATTTGGGTGCTCAGACCCAACCTCAACAGAGGCCACTGCTGCCGGGTTCAGCTGTGGAGGGGGAAAGGGCAGAAAGGGATCTATGCACGCAGGCTTGGTTGAGGCTGGTCCGTAGGACATGACAGCTAACTAAATGTGGCCAAGTTGTAGACGGACACGCCATGGCTTGGAGATGGAAGCACAAGCGTGAGTGAGAGACAGAGGGAGCGAGCGAGCAAGCATGTGGGGCTAACGGCATAGGGGTGTGCCTACAGGAAATCCCTTGGAAGCCCTTACACGGGGAACCCAAACGGGAGATTGCAAGAAAGCCTCAGAGTCACCTCGTTCCCACTCCTGACGCTAAAGAGGGAGAGGCAGGGGTGCAGAGGGCTCACTTTTCAGAGCCCGGCGGACAGAGCTCTGGCTGGCGCCTTGCCAGTCCACCAGCCTTACCCCAAGTCCCCAAAGGCCAACCAAATGCTGCAAGTGACTTCCGAGGGCCTCAAGGCAGAATTATTAAAGTTCGCTATTAAAGTTTGTTCTGTTGGTTTCACGAGCTCGTGGAGCTCCTGCTGGCGGCTCCTGACCAGGGATGTGGGCAGCAAGGTTCTCTCGTGAGCTAAGTATTTTGCACTTAACTCAGGACCTATTATTTCTCCCTATCCGGTGGTTTTCAAACCCTGAAACCTTGAGGGGGACTCTGAAAAGCTCTGAGCTAACTAACCACTAGGGGGAAACAGCGAAACAGACATACACAGTCAAGGCATAACCCTGGGTGCTTCCCACGTAGATTTCAATGAGGGCTTTCATCCCCATGAAACAGACAAGGAAACTGAGACTCAAAGAAGGGACCTGGCACCACTGTCCAGCAGGAACTCTGACCACAAGCCCTACTCTTATCAGCTTCCTGTACTGCATGCCTCAAACTCCCGGGAGAATATATTTTCCTATTTCTGGAGAAGCAACACACGTGAAAGCTAATTACTGCAGAAAGACAGGAAGTAAGTGCTTCTGTGGGAAATGCCTTGTCTTTGGAAGTCCACACTTTTCTTTGGCGGACAATGGTTTATGTTTTGCAGCAAACAGACAGCACCTCCCATGCTCCCCACCGTAGTGTTGGGAGTTGTTTGCTGGGGAAGTCCCCTCCCTGCTACTCTTCCAACTCTGCCTTGATCTCAGAAGCTAGCAGGGTCATTCCTGTGATGAGTTTCTGGCCTCCCTCCCTTTCCCCCAAGCAGGATGGAGAGCAGAGACAACAGCACTGGGTCCAGGCTGCCTGCCCACCACACAGTGGCCTCCCTGCGTGCCCAGAGGCTGCACAAGGCACAGGCTCAGGGAACATTATGGAATACATATATCCTTCCCAAAACTTAGCTTTGAGCCTCATAACCCCTTGACAGGCCAACAGCAATTTCCCACCATCATGTCTTTGCAGGTACTTCACCTACTGATCACTTTTTATCTAATAAGAAAATGTGCCTTGGGGCTGGCGATGTGGAGCAGAGGGCTAGGCAGCTACCTGCAATTGCCAGCATCCCATATGAGCCCCGGTTCGAGTCCTGGCTGCTCCACTTCCAATCCAGCTCCCTGCTAATGCACCTGGGAAAGCAGGGAAGATGGCCCAAGTGCTCGGGCCCAGACGAATCTCCTGGCTTTGGCCTGGCCTAGCCCGTGCGATTGCAGCCATTTGGGGAGTGAATCAGTGGATGGAAGATCTCTCTCTCTCTCTCTCTCTCTCTCTGCCTTTCAAGTAAATACATCTTTTAAAAAAAAGAAAAAGAAAACGTGACTTGGTTGACTCATCTGGGGTAAGACTTATCTTCATCTAAGCACTGCTTTTGGAACAATTTAGTGAAATGTGTCAGATAAAACATATGCATTACCTTTTGACCCAGTAATTCCCATACTCATGAATTAATCTTATAGAAATGCATGCATGGAAACATGAAAATACATCTATTTATTTCCTAAGGGGAGAGGACTAAAGAGCCTGCATCTGAAGCTACTTGCCTGCTTTTTCAGTGTGACAGTACCGCTAACACTGCCATTGAAGCCATTACACTTTTCAGGTGCAAATCACTCTGTTCAGCTCTTTCAGAGGGGAACCTGACTCCTGAAGCCTGGCATAGGATTTTTTAGAAAATGTGGGATCTTGATTTTACTCTAAACAGAGCTCGGTGTTCATAATAGGTGATTCTGTAGACAGCTTTCTCCAGGGCAGACAAGGAAATGGAGGAAGGGTTAACAGCAGCCAGGTGCCAGGCACTGGTCTAAGAGCTATGCACTGAGTGACTTATTTCCTCTTCACTACAACCCCAGGTGAAGGAGAGGAGGTCTGGAGGGGCGCAGGTTCACACAGGTGTATGTGAAAAGCCAAGGCCGGGGCTGCAGGTAGTCTTTGCCTACTCAGTCAGTGAGAGTTTCTATGGCTCCCCTTCACACCTATTATTTCATGTGAACCAAGTGCTCACACCGCAAGCCCTCTCATTCCTGACCATCACCTCTGTGGGGAGCAACTGGGAGCAACTCGGACTAGACTAAGTTACTGGAATTAAGACTTATTCTATGCATCTGCTCTCCCACAATATGGCGCTGGGAGAGGCGGAAACAGCTTCTACACAGCTGCCTCCAGTTCAACCAATAAACTGTAGGACCTGCTCCTGAATGGAGGAGAGCAGCGTACTCGGCGTGTGGGTAGCAGAGTTGGGATTGGTGGAAGAGGACTATAAAGGAGGAGAGAGACAACATGCACCAGGAACATCTATCTGAAGGAACACCTGAGGAACATCTGAGCAGCCCCCGAGAGGGCCGGCCGGCGGTGTGCCGCTCCCCCGCGGAAGTGGGGAAAGTGGCAGGGGGAACCGCCCTTCCACGGAGGTGGAAGGGACGGTAGCCAACCCGGGAAGAACCAGCAGCAAACCCGGGGAGGGCCGAGCAGACGAAAGAACAGCGCAGGGTCCTGTGTCGTTCCTCCACGAAGAGGGGGAGCGACACACCTCTGTGCTACAGATGAGAAAATCAAGATTCAGACAGGTGATCCCACACAGTGGCAAACAGAGAGGCCAAGGCCAGGTGTGACTGCACCTGCTCTTGGGCTCCTCCCTCCCAAGCTTGAAGGTCTAGCGAGGACACCAAAGCTCACTCTTGAGATGTGGGGGAGCTCATCTCCTTGCCTGCTCAGCCTGGCAGAGACATGTGCTCCAGAGCTCAAGAACCCAGGCTGCCCGGCAGCCATGCCCTTTCTCAGATGGAAGAGCTATGGCTGGGCCTGGGCCAGATGTGCTGTGGGGAGAGGGGAACTAACTAGCTAACATCTTTATCTTTTATAAAGATTTACTTATTTATTTGAAAGTCATAATTGCATATAGAGAGGGAGAGAAAGAAACCATCTATCAGCTGGTTCACTCCCCAAATGGCCACAATGGCCAAGGCTGGGTCAGCCCAAAGCCAGGAGCCAGGAACTTCTTCCGGGTCTCCCACGTGGGTGCAGGGGCTCAAGGACTTCGGCCATCTTCTACTGCTTTCCCAGGCACATTAGCAGGGAGCTGGATCAGAAGGGGAGCAGCCAGGATGTGGACTGGTGTCCATATAGGATGTTGGCACTGTAGGCGGTGGCTTTACCTACTGCACCACAGTGATGGCCCCAAGAGAGAGGACTTTCAAATTTGCCCAGTGTCCTCACGATGTAACCTCTTCGAGTTTCCATTAGCAGAGGAAGAGCTGCAGGTGAGACAGAGACTGACATCAGGTGATGTCCTGTGCACAGGCTCAGTCTTCGTGCAAGTCATGCAGTCCCACTGATGCCCCCGTCCCAGGTTCTGCGCAGATGGGAGGTGAGCTGCAGGCCCGACCACTTGGCTCTTGCCCTTCTGTGTCTGTCCTTTGCTGCTAGGGACAGGGACAGACCGAGAGTCACCTCAGCAGTCCTGCTCAGCCTTATCTTCCAGGTTTTTCTTTTTCCCTGTCTCAGTTGACACATAAGAATTGTACATGTTTGGGGCCAGTGTTATGGCAGAGTGGGTTAAGCCACCACCTGTAATGCAGGCATTCTGTATGTGACCCTGCTGAAGTCCTGGCTGTTCCACTTCTGATTCAGCTCCCTGCTAATGTGTTAGCTAGCTAATTATCAAGTGACACTCTGTCTCCTGGCTGGTTGTGCACCCTTTTTATCATGCACGCCCAGCTCCTAGCCCAGGATCTGATGTAGAATAGATGCAAATGAAGTTCTGTTGACTGAACAAGTGGATCGTTATTCCTGCCTAACCAGTGTTGATGGAAAATTCCACCTGGGCTTTCTATCCAACATGGTAGCCGCTAACTGCATGTGACTAGTCCATGTTGACACACGCTACAAGTCTAAAACTCAAACTGGTTTTAAAAGATGTGCCATGAAAGATTTTTTTAACATTGCATAAATAATTCTTACGTTGATTATACATTAGAATAATATTTTGATACACTTGGCTAAATAAAACATTAAAAATTAATCTCATTTATTTCATTTTACTTTTTTTTTTTTTTAACATGGGTCCTAGAAAACTCAGAATTAGGGGCCAGAGTTGGGGCACAGTGAATTAAGCTGCTGCCTGCAATGAGCACAACCAGTATCAGAGCACTGGTTTGAGTCCTTGCTGCTTAGCTTCAGATCCAGCTCCCCTCTAATGCGCTAGGGAAGGCAGAGGTGACCCAAGCACTTGGGCCCTGGACACTCATGTGGGAGACCTGGATAAAGATCCTGGCTCCTGGCTTCAGCCTGGCCCAGCCTGGATGTTGTAGCCATTTGGGGAGTGGACCAGTGGATGGAAGAACTCTCTCTCTCTCCCACTTTCTCTGTCTGTCCCCCTCTCTCTGTCACTCTGCCTTTCAAATAAATACATTTTCTTTAACAAAAAAAAAAAAAAAAAAAAAAAAACCACACACAAAAAAAGTCAGAATTACATATGTAGCTCTCATTATATTTCTACCAGACAGCATTGCTGTAGACCAATGTATAACCCACTAGCTGTCCTGAAACTCTAAAAATAAATTCCTAAGAACCCAGCGGTGTTTTAAGAGTAGCACTAAATAAGCAGCAGCAGTGACTTCCAGCGAATTCCTTAACCTAGCTGGGTCTCAGTTTCCATGTTTATGAGAGGTGAGTGGTACAAATATTTGTCCCACTGGGGTTTGTACGAGATCAAAGCCAAATACCTGGGCAGAGACTGTGGAAAATGCAATGTGCAGCAGCTGCCTGCTGGCTTGTGGGCTCCCTCGGGAGAAGGCTTCACACCACGGCTCCTCTACTCCTTTGCCCTGAACCACTGTCTTCAATCCCACACCCCCCGGCTGGAGGAAACCATAAGTAAGGGACAAAGGGGCCGACTGGACGGCTGCCCAATCAGATTGCTGGTTGGGAGGGACCAGGGCAAGCAGGAGAAGCCAGGGCCTTTCCCGGAACCCTGGTCAGGACGATGTGTGCACCTGTGCCCCACTCCCTCCGTGACTTACATTGTACGGCATAGGATGCTAGAACCACGGCCGAGTTCAGAGGGCAGGTTAGCCTGTCAGGAGAAAAACACATTAGCAACATCACAAGAACCGACGATGGCCCGCAGTGCTCACAGGTCCCTGTCTTTGTCTTTCTCTTCTTGGGTTAGTCATTAAACCACACCAGGAGTCATAACAAAGACAGCTTTACGATACAGATCAATCTCAGTGTTAAATCTCTAAACACAATCTCTGTGACCATGAAGTGACAGGCTGGTGAACATTTTGGCTGCTCAAGAGAGGTGAAGCTCACATCTCTAAGAGAAAAAAATGAGAAACTCTTAGATCCACAGGCAGCCTTCAAATCTTTCTAGTAAAGACCTGAGACTTCATGTCAGGCTCTCACTAAACCCCTGAGTTGCAGGGACTGTAATTCTCCATTACTCTCTTTCTAGAAGGTAGACATCCTCTTAGAAGGGAAAAGTAGAAAAGTATTTTTGCATTTTAAAGCTTGCAATGCCTGAATTCATCCCTTAAGATTCCCACACTGGTTTCCTCTCTTGAAGACCTACTGGGTCCAGTGGTCCATGCACCTGTCATCCTGCATGGCCTGGCCTCACCCACGCTTCCTCTGGAACTCACTACCTCCCCCTGGTGCCCCACTTCTGCCAATGACTGCACCTCTGTCCTGGTCAGACTTCAGATCCTATGACTGCCCTCCTTGCTCCACTCAACAGCAGTCAGCCGGCCTGGGAGCTCCTACCACAGACTGGGCTCAGGGAGAATGCGCCAGGGATGGGCAGGAGCGAGGGCTCTTGGGAAGGCATGTGAGGGGGTCTGATGAAGGGAAGCATGCCCACAGCAATCCTGGAAGATGGGGGTTTTAGAAGCTTTCTTCCCGACAGTGCAGTGGGGAGCAGAGGAAACACACAGTTTCCATGGCAGCCCAAGAAGTTCCCAAGATGTGACTCACCCGCCCCTCTGACTTAGCCGGCTGGCCCTCCACCCGTGCACCGGGCTGTGCGTTAAGCAACTCTGCTCACCGAGGGGCCCCCATCTTTCCTGAGGTGACCCTGCTCCCGCTATCACCTTTGAACGACCATTCCAAGGCTGCAGGTGCATTCGGGCCACGCTCCCCTCTTTCTGGAGATCTCCAGTGCTCAGGGGCAGAACAGGCCATGACGAGCACCTGCCATTTGTTCTCCTACCCAGGTGGGCTTCAGTGACATCTACGCCATAGTCCTTCCTGGAGGAAGAGCAGGGACGTGGGATCTGGGGACGAACTTTGGAAAGAGGCTAAGGAGCTTCTGTTTAGATGGAAGAAACACCCAGGCCGGTGCCGCGGCTCACTAGGCTAATCCTCCGCCTTGCGGCGCCGGCACACCAGGTTCTAGTCCCAGTCAGGGTGCCGGATTCTGTCCCGGTTGCCCCTCTTCCAGGCCAGCTCTCTGCTGTGGCCTGGGAGTGCAGTGGAGGATGGCCCAAGCACTTGGGCCCTGCACCCCATGGGAGACCAGGAAAAGCACCTGGCTCCTGGCTCCTGCCATCGGATCAGCGCGGTGCGCTGGCCGCAGTGCAACGGCCACGGCGGCCATTGGAGGGTGAACCAACAGCAAAAGGAAGACCTTTCTCTCTGTCTCTCTCTCACTGTCCACTCTGCCTGTCAAAAAATAAAAAAAATAAATAAATAAAATAGATGGAAGAAACACCCTTCAGAGAAGCCAGAGGAAAAACAAAGACTGGTGTCTGAAACGCATACAACAGATCCCTGAATGCCTACATTCTACTCTCAATTTGGTCACGACCAAGCACCATGTTCCCAGACTGATCCCTTCCTTTCTCTAGGGCTCGGCAGGAGGAAGCTGACGCCTGGAGCACGGCTGCCACTCTAGAGTTCTCGCAAGCCAGGGGGCAAGCTTGGCTCCCAAGCGAGGGGCCAACCACGCCCCCGTGGAACCTGTCAAACAGCCCGTGGCCACAAATGGCCCGAGACAATCTTAAGAACTGTCTGGTACTAAAGACCCTGCTCAGAGAAGTGTGATGGCCAGGGCAGACATGACAAGAAACTGCCGGGGACCTAGGCCGGCGTGTGGCTCTCAACAGATTCCTATTGATTCACGGAAAAGTTTATCAAGGGGTATTTTGCTTGGGAGGAAAAATGAAGGTGCAGGTGTTTGGTGCAGTAGTTAAGATGCCACCTTGGATGCCCGAGACCCACACTGGAGTGCACGGGTTTGAATCTTGGCTCATCTGTTCTAAGTTAGCTTCCTGCTAATGCACACTCTAGGAGACATTAGGTGATGGCTCAAGTAGTTGAGTCCTTGCCACCCACGTAGGAGACCAGAGCTGTGTTCTAGGCGCCTGGCTTTGGCCTGGTCCAGCCCTGGCTGCTGTGGGCATTTGGGGAGTAAACCAGAGGATGGATGATCTCCCTCCCTCTCTCTCTGATTCAAATAAAATAAATAAATTTAAACAAAAGCGAAGACAGTCAATGCCCAGTATTTAGAGAACCAGACTGAGCAGCTGCTGGAGCTGCCGGGGTGGGTGTGGGAGAGGGCAGGACCCTCACCTTATCTGACCAGCACAGTCAGGTGCCTTAATGTGTTAGCAAAATACACGTGAGGGAAAATCAAAGTAAACGTGCAGAAGAGAGGGACAGAACAAGTTTCTGTGGCTGCAGAGGGCAGCCTGGGCTGGGGGCGGGAGGCGGCAGACTTCAACCTTCAGTTATCCTAAAATGTAGGAAAGGCTGTCTCTTGAAGGGTGAGCTCCCCATCACGGGTGAATCCAGCAGAGGCCCTGCAGCCCAGTGGGCTGTGCTACAGAGGGGTTTGTTCCTTGCTCGTCAGAGAGTATGAGCTAAATCTCTAATGCTATGACAGCTAAACAGGCGCTACGATCCAGGGGTCCACTCTCTCCTTCCAGTCTTCACTCCACATGCCCCAGACTCCGGTCTGGACACGTACGAGGGCTTCCTTGAGGGCTATCTGTTTCCTTCCATCTGGACGGGACCCCATGGCCTCTGCGAGGCCTCCCCGCTACACGGGGATCTGACTTCTGCAGGTGCAGCTTTCGCCTGGCTCCCTGTGGCCTGCTGGATGCGAGATGCAAGCCTGCGCCGGACATGAGAAACCCTCCCTTCTCTGTAAGCACCTCACGTGGAGGGCTGGGGGAGACCCACAGTCCAGTTCTAGGTGGGACCGTGCAGGGTCGGGGCAGGGGGTGTCTTCTCACGGTCTAGTGACCTCAGCTCTTCACGTCCCGACCAAGCCTGGCTCAGCCCAGCAGCCCATGCTGGCAGGAGTGCCTCAGAGCTAACAGTGGGTCTCCACTGCTTCCAGCTACTTCGTGGGCTCCTGTTGCGTCATCTCCCCAACCAGGCTCCCTGCTGGGGCAGGCTGCTGGCAGCCTCACAGACTCTCCTCAGGAAAACCAACCTCCCAGAAGGAGAGCATGGTGAGGAGAACGGGGAGTAGGACGCGGCTCTTGCCGCCAGTTCACCGGCCACGGTCTCTTCCTTAAGCCAAGGACACACTAAGGAGGTGGCAGCTAAGGGCCACCAGCCTGGAGCTTCAGCTCCCCGCATAGAGTGGTCTCGGGGACCTCTGGCCACTGAGCGGTCTACACGGGGAGTGCTGAATCACAGGCAGACACTCATACCGCGAGCACAGACTTTCCCAGAGCGGAAATGAATGACCAGGCGCAGGAAGTGAAGCCTGATCAGGCCTGCCCTGCCTTCCCAAGGGAAGCCCATTTTACACTCTGGGCTCCTCCCTCCCTCCCAAAGGGCTCAGGTCTCTACCAGAAGAATCCTGCCTCTTCTGTGATGAAACGGAAATAATGGAAGTGGAAAGGAGGCTGAACAGTCTGCAGTCTCTGAACCAAGACCGAGTTAAAAACAGATGTCCTGGCTGGCGCCGCAGCTCACTAGGCTAATCCTCCGCCTTGCGGCGCCGGCACACCGGGTTCTAGTCCCAGTCAGGGCGCCGGATCCTGTCCCGGTTGCTCCTCTTCCAGGCCAGCTCTCTGCTGTGGCCCAGGAGTGCAGTGGAGGATGGCCCAAGTGCTTGGGCCCTGCACCCCATGGGAGACCAGGAGAAGTACCTGGATCCTGCTATCAGATCAGCGCGGCGGCCATTGGAGGGTGAACCAATGGCAAAGGAAGACCTTTCTCTCTGTCTCTCTCTCTCACTGTCCACTCTGCCTGTCAAAAACAAAAAAACAAAACAAAACAAAAAAAACAGATGTCCTCAGCCTCTGTCGGACAGGACGCTGCCTCCGACAGCCGTCTGTTGTTCCTGATGGAACAGCATAGCTGGGAAAGCATGCTCGATTAGATGAAGACCAGAAATTTGGCTAGTTGGACAGGAAAAGGAAAATGCAAAACGTCCATTACCTTCCTTCGCAAATGTCCATCTTCAGTTGCAAGAAATACATATGCCTGTGAAACAAGTGTTTTCATTAATTCATACTCAAACTGAAACAGGCAAAACACACACACACATACACACACAAATTGATGAGTCAAGGACAAGACTTGTATACACAAAAAATAAAATACACAAAGATGCATTCCAGTCTAAGTACTGGGCGTTCTTCTGCACACTGCAAAGCTGCCCAGTCACCAATGAGGACCCCAGTCAGGGCCCGAAGTCCCAATTGGTGGGGGCATCTTGAGCCACAGCAGGCTGCCGTAGGGAAGGCACCAACTTCAGGAGTAGATGGGTACCCAGCATGGCAGTGGCCCGCCAATGGTCTGCTGGTGCCGCTGCCAGTAAGCGCCCCGGCCTGCAGCTGGGGCCTTCCAGGCTGATCACCAGGACCCCCAAGAGCTCTGTACCCGCAGCCACCTGCTCCACCTGTGGGGCCACTGTTCTGAACACGGTGCCTGTGCACACACACCCACCTACACTCCCTCTGTGTGCAGCTGCTCAGGGGAGGCGGGTCTGGGAAGAAGCCCTCTGTGGCTGGGGTACAAACACCCGCTGGCCTTTTTGCTGCATCCTAAGCCATCGGTGAGCTCGGAGGTGCTCATCTGTGAGCGACCCACAGAGGCAGCTTCAAAAACCAGGACCTGTTTTGCAGGCCAGCTGTCCGGGGGCCCCCAGCCCTGGCCTCTGCCGGGGGTTGGGTGGGGAGTTGGGGAAAGGTGCAGGCCACAACCCTGTGCAGGCCAGCAGATGCCCTGGGAGGTTTCTATTTTCGGGACACAGAATCCATGTGACACTTGGCCACTGGCTCCCACTCTTTTTTTAAAGTCCAGGTTCAAATGGGAGAGACATTCCAGGGTCTGGCCAAGATGACAACAGGGAAGCCTCTTGAAATCTAATCTAGACTGGGCAGAGGCGCCAAGGGGCGGGAGGGAGGGAGAATTCTGGCAGGTTAAACAGATCAGTCTCAAATTCTTCCAGGTTTACAAAGGGCAAGGGGCTGGCTCTGTGACACACAGACGCTTAAAAGGCTAAGTACCACAAGCCTGCAGTTATCCAGGCCTCAGCTGTGTGCGCGCTGCTGGGTGACGCTTGCCCTCACTTCCACCGCCTAACTGTGGGCCACACACCACGGCCTGCTTTTCTCACAAACCGGAGCTGAGCTAGGGTGGGAGTGGGGGGCCAGCCGTGTCTTATTTTAACCAGGACGCTCGCACTTTATTTACACAATCGCCCTATACTTCCAATCTCGTCTGCACTTAATGACGTAAAACGCTCAGGATCAGCGTCCCGACCCTGCTATGGTTACTTTGACGGTGATCATCACCGGCAGCCCGCAGTGTGCCGCACGGACAGATGGGATATTGTACATGTGCTGATTCATGCCTGTTTGGAATGGGAATGTCACTCTGTTCCACCTAGGAGAACACAATCAGTGTTTTCTAGTTTGTTTCTATGTTTATCCACGCTGACATTCAACCAGAATTAAGTGTTCCCTCCTCCTACAATGCTACTGAGAGAGAGAGGGGCAGGGAGAGGGCTATGGATAATCCCAGGGTAAACCTGAGCTTTTGCGGCTGGGCCATGCTGATCACTACACCTTCCCAGGGATCTGAGGGTGAACATGAACCCAGACATGCCACCCTGTCATTTGCTCAGCCAAGTTTCCGAGCCTACTCTATGGCATGAAACCCAGAGACATCAGAATAGCGAATGCCACCCAAACGCAGGGGCCTTCCGGGAGAAACTCGAAGGAGCCTCCTTTTAACTTGTGTGGCCAGTAGACGACATTCTCCTGGGGAGATCTAACTTGATCGGGAACAGCAGTGGTGGAGGCTCATAACAGACACGGACTTGATTCGAATAAAAGAGAGCTCCAAGTTGGGCAGTGGCATCGCCACACTCAGAGTGGACCCCACCTGTGATCCCAACCCCAGCAACAAAGCAATGAATGTCTCCCTATCCTGATCCTTTAAAAGCAAACAAACCAATAACAACAAAAATAAACCAAATACCACCTCTGTACTCTTTCTTTGGCTCTTGAGAGCTAAATCCCCTTCCTTAAATTCCTTAAAGGGAAATCCCTTTTGGACAGACTCCAAAGCTGCAGCTTCATAAGCTACCATGGGCCAGCAATACATGTAAAACCCGGCATTTGAGTTAAAAAGTAAAGAAAAAGGCATGGGGATTAATGGTGGAAGCCTGGTAGAGTAGGAAAAAGATCTGGCAGTCCTGGCTGCTCCCAGCTTGACAGGAGTCGTGGGTGTGGCTACTGCTGTGGTTCTTGCTGCAAGAGGAAAGATCCAAAGCCCCAAGCCCAGGAGGAGACAACAAGCTCACTTGGCTCCACACCACCCATCTTAGACCGGAGAGGGCGGTGGGGGTGGGATGCCAACGCTGAACCTGTGAGTTTTAGGAGCAACACGGACCAGTGGGTTTTTTTCTGGGACACAGGCAGAAGCAATATTAGTCTACTGCTCATCCTGAGCTGGAATCTGGCTCTCTGCAGCCCCACCCACGAGCCGTAACTCTGCATGTCCAATTCCCCATTTCCCATTGCCACCCTCTGCGGCTCAGAAGGCAGCCTCAGGTCTCCTGAGTACCCCCACGTCCCTGGAGTGGCAGGCAGGCTCAGCAGGCAGATATGTGGCAGCGGGCACTGGAGAGACCCCTGGTGCAGGCTGGTCCTCTCGTCCCTTTCCTCCACATCTGCCCCTGGAGAGCTCTAACCCCCCCGCCCAGGGGGCCATGGCCTGGGAGATGGCCTGGCCATGGTGATGGACAACTGTGGGGCAGCCTGGTCCGCACTCAGCTTGGAACCTGGCACCTCAGGAGTCACTGCCGATTTAGAGAAAGGAAACAGCAGGATAGAAAAAACTCCAGGGTGCTCTGCACTTAACTAAAGTTTTCTAAAACTTTTTGTTTCAGTAATTTTTATAGATATGTGTACTGCATTCTGAGATAAAGTACATTTTTTAAAAGACCCCACTGGGGAACCAACCTGTGGCATAATGTGTTAAACCGTCACTTGTGACACCAGCAGGCCACAGAGCATTGATTGGAGTCCTGGCTGCTCCCCTTCCAATCAAGCTTCCTGCTAAAATGCCTGGGAAGGCAGTGGAAGACAGAGTACTTGGGCCCCCACCACCTATCTGGGAGACCAGAACAGAGTTCCTGGCTCCTGGCTTCAGCCTGAACCAAGCCCAGCCATTGTGGCTATTTGGGAAGTGAACCAGCTGATGGAAGATCTCTCTCTCTCTCCCTCTCTGTTTCAGTCTGTCATTCAAATGTGTACACATGTATACATATGTAATCACGCACACCATACATTTTATCTAAAACATATACCCACACACAGAAGTGCACACATTCTTAAGTCCCCATGTCCTGTTGTACTGTCACTGCACAGGGTCACTTCAAACACATCCTCCTCGAGGATGTCCCGGACTCTGTGCCCACCAGTCCTGAAATGACCTGCCAAGTTCAGCGGCTCCCCAGGGCTCCCAGCCTCCCAGCGGGAGGAACTATTGAGGGAGAAGGTCCAGGCGGGGCCTGCACTTCCGCATGGCTCCCCAGCGAGTCACCAGTCATGCTGGGTTAAAATTTAACTTCGTGGTAAACAGTCAAATCCCCAGCGACTGGTGCTGCAGAGGGAAGAGGCACAGGAAGAATGCAAAACAGAGTAGCAGACTAATATTTGGCCTTGAAACACACTAAAAGTTAAAAATGGGATCATGTGATTACCATTAAAAAAAAAAAACACTAGACAGGAGAGCACTCTAGGAGTCCAGCTAAGGCACCTCCTGGGTGAAGGTCCTGTGGGGACAAACAGCACACAGCAGGAGTCAAAAGTCCTAACCATCCTTTGCCTGCCTCTCGAGCTTTGAAAAAAACAAATGGATCCATAATAAAAGGGCTTAGCATCACCCTAGGGGAGGGGAAGTTGAGTCTGCAGGGTCCAAAGTTTCAACAGCAACAACTTTCCTAGGCAGAAGAGCTAATCCCCACCCAGCAAACCCATCTGCAGTGCCAAGCCCAGGCCAGGCCCCACTCCAGGGCCTGAGGGGTAAACAGTTCCTGTCACTGCCTCCTTCCCTTATCTGGCTCCCGAATCTCTATCTGTTGATTCACCAGCCTGTCCTCCTCCCCAGCACCCGAGAACGGGAGCTAAGAGGAAATGCTCAGGACAGAGCCTTCTGGGCTTGGCCCACAGCCCGGCATCCATCCCTGTGGAGACTGAGACACCGTGCTATCTGGCCTGCAGGGGACTGGGTCCCACGTGCACCCTCTCAGCTCCAACCATGCAGCCAGGAGAGGCAGGAGGCGGGATGGGAGGAGGAGGAGGGAACTGCACCAAATCAGGAGGCCAGGGAAGCGAGCCTGAGACTGGACACCAATCAGCTGATTAAAATGTCAATCATTGCTCTGTTACTGGGATCAGGCATGCCAGTGAGGCTCCACCCACATGGAGTTACCCTGCAGCAGCCACAAAATCAAGAGTATGTTTTTGGTGTTTTTGACAGTTACTCACTTTTATATACTACATACAAAATTTCTTTAAAAAAAAAAAAAAAGGCTCTTACCTGGTTTGTTCTTGCTGCAAGGTGTTGGGATCAGGTATAAAAAATCTGACTCGAAAATGCAGGGTACAGGGGAAACCTCCTATAAAAGTTTTCAAACACAAAATTACAATTCCCTTTAAGTAAGTCGTTGCTCTCTTATAAGTGATGCATTTTTCATTTCGCCATGGCTTTTTTCCATTGTAAAATAGGGCTCATTTCGAATAAGGAATGCGTGAGTTACAGACTGTTTCGAAAATCTCCAAGTCTACAAAAAAGTAAACTATTTACACAACACTGGTGTAGGCTGAGGTATGTCTACTTCCTGTTACGTGTTTAACTTAGGCCGTGTTCAAACAACGCTTCAAACAATGCACCCCATTACCGGGCCGAGGAGTTTATAAATTGTAGCATATAAAACCCACAAAGAAAAAATGGCTAACATTTTGATGACAATTTCCACTTTTCAGACCCTTTCGTGCCAGGCTGCTATCCACAGCCCCATCTTAGAGAGGAGCCAATAGGCTTAGATGTGCAAGTGACCTGCCAGCCAGCAGCCAAACCAGAAGTACAGGCCCGGGTGTCTGATTCTGCCACGCCGCATTTCAGGAACAACATCCCGCGCTTTTTAATGCAGAGCATATTCAGTGATTCCTGGTCTACGAAAATCACACAATGAACAATCCAAATGTGGCTCTTTAGGCACCAGCAACCAGAGTCAATTTGAATCCATTTCTTGTGACATGGCAACAGGAAACCATCAGATGATGTCACCAAGACCCAGAGATCTTCATGTCAATTTCACCCCCCCCCCCCAAGTCTTACCTGTGCACTCAGCATCGTCTCGATCTTTGAAAATGCATGTCCTTTTCCAGGTGCCCTGTCCCTGCACTCATCTCCTCTGTCCCCTTCACCCGGGGCTCCGTCTCCATCTCTTTAGCACCTTCTATCTGCATCTCTGGTGAGTGTTCAGAAAAGCTGGCAGTGTATGTGTGCACCCGAGCATACATCTGCACGAGTGCCTGCTCTCCAGTGGGGGCGCTCTAACGCTGTGGGTGTAGGCTTTGCACCTGCACTCAGGTGAGCCAAGTCCTCGCTTAGCCTTGGGATGCCCCTTCACTTGCCTGCTCTTCTACAGTGGTCAGGTCTGGTCTGCTCTGTCTTGCCCCTCTCCATACTGTCACCCAGGGTGTCCTATTGTGTGCTAAGGATCATCAGAGCTCTCTCTCCCTCTCCTCTGTCTCCACAAGTGGTTGGGAGCTCCCTGAGGGTAGGGTGCAAATCTGACCTGGAACAGACACCCAGGGCGCAGTCCAGGGTCCTGACCCCAGCTGAGCTCAGGACATCTCTGCTGAATGAGTGAGTTAGTGAAAGGGGGACTGCCAACCCCAGCCAGGTACTGTGGGCACTCACTTCCAGGATAGATATTTATCTCCAAGTGGCTCTGCAGCTCCTGTGAGCATGTCCTATCACTAGGGACTCAATTGCTGGGAGGTGAGAACTCTAAGGACCTGGCTTCAAGTGGGGACAGCAGTGGGACCAGAGCAGTGACCATTTATGTCTACTCCCTCCCACCTGGGCACCAGGGCAGGTGTGTGTGTTTGCGTGGTGGTGGTGATGGTGTAGCACCAGGGTGTTTGCACACCTGGGTGTACAAATCCACCTGCCTGTCAGTCCTCTCCCCACTCACTGGCCACCTCCTGTGGGTGGGGGTACCTGGAGGGGATGCCAAGAGGAAAGGGACAGGGTCCTAACCTCAAGAACCTTGCAGTCCTGAGAACTCAGGGAGATGGACGGGAGGCGAGGGCGAGAGGGTTCAGAACCACGAAGCAGCCAACGCTAAGAGGGAGGGAGCGCGGAGGGAAGTCTCAGCCTCTGGTGGGAGAGGAGATGGGGCCTGATCGGCCTTGGAGAGCAGCAAGGTTTGGACACAGGGACGCGGATGGGAAACACATTCCACGTCTCTGGTTCCCACACGGATCAAGTCTTGTGAGACTGCCCTAAAGAAGGCGATGGGAACAGACAGGGAAGCCACAGAGGCGGCCAGCAGATCAGCCAGGCTTGCCTGGGGCCTCGGGAGCCCAAAGGGGAACAATGACGGTGCCGGTGGGAAGAGGCTGGCCAGAGGGTGGGCCAACAGATGAGCTGCCTCTGAGGGGTGCCATCGCCTAGCGCGGGTTCACTGTGCAGGGGAGGTGCGTGAGCTGGCAGGAGGCCCTGAGGTGCAATGTCTCGGTTCCCACTGTGGCACATAGGGTCTCTGGCTCTGGGCTTCCCGCTCTCACCTTTCCCTTTCCTGCCCATCCAGGGGAGGACCCCAGGGGGCTGAGCTGGATGCATCTCCACTAACTTCAGGAGCCAGGCAGGGAACCACCCCCCCTGCCCCCCGGAATCCTGGCACTACAGGCACCTCCAGCACCGGCGGAGAGAAACAGGCCATGACTCACTAGCCCCTGAGGTTCAACGGACGTGCAACGGCCACACCAACCTTTCAGCTGCTTCCGGAGGGGTTTGCTTGATTCCAGCCATCTCTGTCGGGTGAGAGGAGACGAGGGATTACGAGCAGCCCGTGCAGGAGGCCAGCCCGGGTAGGAGGGACCGCCACTTACAAGAGAGTCTGCTGAGTCGTCGCCGTGTTGCAGCCCGAAGTATTCCTTCTCGGTCACGCCCAGGTGGTTGTAGGCCATGTCCAGAAGGACCTGACCTGTGTCTTGTTTCTAGGAGAGAAAAAAGAAACTGGAGTGGGAAAAATGAACAACCTTAACCACGCATTCAGAGGGATGTGACACACGCACGCTTTCTGAGAAGTCACAGTTCAAAGGGATGTGACACAGGACTTCCAGAGAAGTCACAGCACACGCACGGAAGGCGGGGCTAAGGAAAACGACGTGCGTGCAATTTAAGGCCATATGCGTTTCACTGGTCGCCTTTTGGAAGCTGTCTTCCCTTCCCTTAGCTAAGACGTCTCAAGTGCTGTCTACACTAGCAAACACCTGTTTCACAGCCACGGTCACCTCTCCGTGACCCGCTGCGGATTGTCCACAGTGAAATGCTAAGCCTGGGGCGGTTTCTGTTGGCGCCTTCAGACTCGTCTGAGGCTCCCACCCCTGGAGGGACAGAGGAAGAGTGAGCGGGGAAGGGACACTCTCAAGAAAGGAGGCCAGCTAAAAATACGCAAACGCCATTCAACCCCCCTCCCCGGGCCAGGTGGTGAGCTGGCCCATGCCACCCCGTGGATTATCTGCCTCGCCATCTCCTGGGATCTGAAGTGAGAAGCTGCGAGGACATTCAGCACACTTCGCTCCAGTGCAGGACTAGGGGCAGGCATGGTGTGGACAGGGGGACTGTCGCTCCCCCTCTTCGTGGGGGAACGACACTAAACCCTGCCTAGGCTTCATATCCGAGTCACGGCACCATTATGTCGCTCCCCCTCTTCGTGGAGGAGCAACACAGGAACCTGCGCTGTTCTTTCGTCTGCTCGGCCCTCCCCGGGTTTGCTGCTGGTTCTTCCCGGGTTGGCTACTATCCCTTCCACCTCCGTGGAAGGGCAGTTCCCCCTGGCCGCATTCCCCACTTCCGCAGGGGAGCGGCACACCGCCGGCCAACTCTTCTCGGGGGCTGCACGGGTTCCCTTAGATGTTCCCCATAGATGTTCCTCGTGCATGCCGTCTCTCTCCTCCTTTATAGTCCTCCTCCGCCAATCCCAACTCGGCTGAGTACGCTGCTCTCCAATCAGGAGCAAGTCCTACAGTTAATTGGTTGAACTGGAGGCAGCTATGCGGAAGCTGTTTACTTCTCTCCCAGCGCCATATTGTGGGAGAGCAGATGCATAGAATAAGTCTTAATTCCAGTAACAGTCTAGTCCGGTTTGCTCCCCACAGATCCCCCTTTCTTTTTATTTTTTGGCGTTGATACGCGCCTGTCTTCGGTGTCCCGCAGCACACACTCTGCTGTACTTGCTAGAGTTGCCACAGGCTCTTACAAGTCCTATCAATCAGGAAAACCGAATCCGGGTCCTCTCTTCGCCATTGTGAGGAGGTTTTTAGGCGCTGATGCGTGCCTGTGTTCGGTGCCCTGCAGCGCATGCTCTGCTCTGCTAGAACTGCCTGCAGGTGTTTACAAAACCTATCAGGCAAACCGAATCCAAGCCTTCTCATTGCCGTATTGTGGGGGAGACTTATTAGTGTTGGTTTGTGCCTATCTTCGGTGACCTGCAGCTCATACTCTGGTCGAGCTTTGCTGGCGCTTACCGCCTTAAATCAGGCAGACCGAATCCAAGCCTCCTAATTGGCATGTTGAGGGGAGGCCTTATTTTTCTCTATTTCTCTATCTCCGGGCATTCCTACCTCTCCCATTTCACTTCTATCTTCCAGCATTCCCATTTCTCTTTTACTTCTAAACTTCTGTTTCTCTTATCCCTGCGGCTTTCCGGCGGCGCTCGCCCCGAGGCTGCTTCTCGGCACCTCGCCCCGCGGCAGCTTCACGGCTCTGCGCGGCTTCCCGGCGCCTCGCCCCGCCGGCGCCCGCCCCGCGGCGGCTTCTCGGCTCTGCGCGGCTTCCCGGCGCCTCGCCCCGCCGGCGCCCGCCCCGCGGCGGCTTCTCGGCTCTGCGCGGCTTCCCGGCGCCTCGCCCCGCCGGCGCCCGCCCCGCGGCGGCTTCACGGCTCTGCGCGGCTTCCCGGCGCCTCGCCCCGCCGGCGGGTTCCCGGCTCTGCGCGCACGCTCCGCGGTCTCCACGCACTTCGCGCCCGCACCACGGCCTCGCGTCAGCCCCGGCGTTCCCCATCTATTCACGCCCCGTGCTCTCTCTGCACGCGGCGGCTTCCGCGAATGTTTCCGCCACCACCGGCATTCAGTCCAAGTTCCCCGGACTAACCTGGCGAATCCTGGCGGCCCACGTCTCTGCCTCTGGTTCCAGATCTTCGCCTCTTGCTCCCCGGGGTGACTTGAAGAATTCCAAGATGGCTTGGCCTGCACTCGCGGCTTCATCCTCCCTAACATTTTTCTCTACCCGGTATGTTTCCTTAAGTTTTCTTCCAACAATATTCCTCCCTCATTTCTCCTGGCTTCTCCCCACAGTCCGTATCCGAGTCTAAGTTTCTTATAGGTTTCACTTTCACTTTCAACCTGCAGTCCGTATCTAAGTTTCTTCTTGCTTTCACTTTAAATCCTAACTTCTTTCCCACAGTCCATATCCGAGTCTATGCCTAGGCTTTCCATAGCTTCTTCCGGCACCTTTCTCGTCTGGCTTTCCCCTAGGCTCTTCGCTAGTCTCTCTCTCCGGTATTTTCCTGCTTCTTCCCGTTTCTTCCCTCCTAAGTTTCCTATCCGTCCTAGGCTTCATATCCGAGTCACGGCACCATTATGTCGCTCCCCCTCTTCGTGGGGGAACGACACTAAACCCTGCCTAGGCTTCATATCCGAGTCACGGCACCATTATGTCGCTCCCCCTCTTCGTGGAGGAGCAACACAGGAACCTGCGCTGTTCTTTCGTCTGCTCGGCCCTCCCCGGGTTTGCTGCTGGTTCTTCCCGGGTTGGCTACTATCCCTTCCACCTCCGTGGAAGGGCAGTTCCCCCTGGCCGCATTCCCCACTTCCGCAGGGGAGCGGCACACCGCCGGCCAACTCTTCTCGGGGGCTGCACGGGTTCCCTTAGATGTTCCCCATAGATGTTCCTCGTGCATGCCGTCTCTCTCCTCCTTTATAGTCCTCCTCCGCCAATCCCAACTCGGCTGAGTACGCTGCTCTCCAATCAGGAGCAAGTCCTACAGTTAATTGGTTGAACTGGAGGCAGCTATGCGGAAGCTGTTTACTTCTCTCCCAGCGCCATATTGTGGGAGAGCAGATGCATAGAATAAGTCTTAATTCCAGTAACAGTCTAGTCCGGTTTGCTCCCCACAGGGGACACAGCTGTCACGCGTCCCCTGTCCTGCCTGAGCCGTGGACCGGCAGCTGTAGCATGGTGTCAAGTGCTGTGAAGCGAGCGAAGCACAGTGCACGCCTCCAGGGACAACACCTGGGGTCCGGCAGGAGCTGGCCCATGCTGTCCGTCCTTTCCTGGCACCAAGGGCAGGCATCTGGAGCGCCGGCCCAGCTCCAACAAAGGCCCAGTGGGGCACACAGCGGGAAGCATTTGAGAAACTGCAAATTCTATTTCTGTGGGCAGACTTCTCAGGAATCCTTTGAACCAAGCCCTTGAACTGAAGGACAATATGAGTCAGAAATAGATGGCGCTGGAACAGGCAAAGGGAGCCCCTCTTTGTGAGAGTCTGAGAATGGACAACGTACTTGGAACTAGGTCACAGCAACCTGGGCTGGGAGAACTCGCCAACTGTGGAGCCCCGCCTGCATTGCCTTCTTTGGGGCAGCCTCGCCAGACTTGCTCTTTAGTGGGGGAGCCAGAGATGTGCCTGCCCACTTCCTGAACACCTTGCTTCCCAGCCCAGGACCCCTGCACCTGCTGCTTCTTCTACCCAAGGCACCTTCCATCACAAGACAACCACCAAGGATGTGGCAGGGATGACTGACCTGGGCCACATACTCCAAGTTACGAGACACAATCCCACCCAGTTAGGACACTTTCTCGATGTGCCCAGGAGCTGGTGTTCCCTTGTTGGAGTCATTATTTATGTATGACTTTATATCACATTTAACCTGTAATAGCAACATAGCTCTGTGACCAGCTACAAGAAGCCAGAAGCGCTTTTCACGTATGATCTCCAACCTCTGTGACAACAATGCAAAGTCACAGTGGGAGCCATCTGTGATGAGCAGACAGTCAGGGGGAGGCTCCGGGCCTCGCATCAGATGATGTCTGCTCAGCTGACTCACATCTGTCTGCTGCCAAAGCCCGTGTGCTCCCGCCATGCTCCATCTCCCTTCTCTGGAGTGGGTAACCCAAACGTTCAGGCATCTATTCTGCCTAGTTCACTCCTTCTCAAAAGGACCCAAAATGAAGCACACATTCGCAGGGCTGGCATTGTGGTGAAGCTGCCACCTGGGATGCCGGCATTCCATACTGGTGTGCAGGTTCGAGTCCTGGCTGCTCCACTTCTGATCTAGCTCCTTGCTTATGTGCCTGGGAACGCAGTGAAGATGGCCTAAGTGCTTGTGCCCCGGCCACCACTGCTTCTGACACCTCTTTATACCTGTGTTTCTCAGGCTCTGGCACCCCCTCCCTCCCTGGTGGGCTCTGGTAGGACCTACCCCTTAACCCTCCTACCTTGAACATGCATACCTCACCCCCGCCTTCCTTTGATGCCCCTATCAGGTGATCTCCGGTTTGCTGGCTTGGAACACCATGCCCATCCTGGTGGCACGCACAGTCCCTGAGCTCCTGACCTGGGTACCTCACTCCACCTCTGCGTCTGAGCAAAGCTGAAGCGCTGGCTCGCCAACCCCCTGGGTCCACAACAGCACTGGCTCTCTCTGCCCCTGTACACCGTGCCTCCACCATGCCAGCTACCAACAGATCCTCCTGGCTTCACCCTCAAAGTACTTCCAGACTTGGCTTCCTCCAAGCCCCCTCTGCATGCCTGTCCTTTCCAATTATCCCCTCTCCCCCAGGACTGTTACAGTCTCTCAGCCCTGTCCCCCTACTCTATCCTCCCATCAACAGCAGCCAGAGGGACACTGGGGTCAGATACGCCAGGTCTCTGTCTAAACCTATCAGTGCTTCCCACTGCATATGGAATAAAAGCCAGTGTCCTCAGAATCATCTCCGAGGGCCCGCTCCACCCTAATGCACCTGCTAGCGCTCTGATCCTATCTCCTGCTCCTCTCCTTTGCTTGCTCCACTCTGGGCATGCTGCCTTCCATACTGTTCTGCAACCACACCATGCAGGCTCTTGCCTCAGGGCCTTTGCATTGCTGCTCCTTCTCCACGGAATGCGCTTCCTCCAGATAACCACGCAGTTCTTTCACTGATCAGTGGAGCCTCCCTTCTCACATCTATAAAACGGTGCCCTGTCCAACTCTCTCCCTAGGATGGGGATTTGGCTCAGTTTTGGCTCAGTTTTGTTCACGACTATATTTCTTGTATCCAGAACCAAACCTGACACACAGTGGGTGCTCAGTAAGCACCTGTCGGACGTATAAATGAGTTACAGACTCACACTAGCAAATGTCCGTGTTCTTGTTGGAAGGAGATAAAAGGTGGAGGCCCAGCTCTGACACAGCCAGTCGCAAGTTTCTACAGGGGAGTCAGGTACACACTAAGCTGAGAGTTTATGGCATCTGCGACCTTCGCAGGCCTTGTTCAATCACGGCATTCTATGGAAGACTAAGTTATAAAGGAAACCAGATGTTGTCGCTCCCCCTCTTCGTGGAGGAACGACACAGGACCCTGCGCTGTTCTTTCGTCTGCTCGGCCCTCCCCGGGTTTGCTGCTGGTTCTTCCCGGGTTGGCTACTATCCCTTCCACCTCCGTGGAAGGGCAGTTCCCCCTGGCCACATTCCCCACTTCCGCAGGGGAGCGGCACACCGCCGGCCGGCTTTCTCGGGGGCTGCACGGGTTCCCTTAGATGTTCCCCATAGATGTTCCTGGTGCATGCCGTCTCTCTCCTCCTTTATAGTCCTCCTCCGCCAATCCTAACTCGGCTGCCCACACGCCGAGTACGCTGCTCTCCAATCAGGAGCAAGTCCTACAGTTTATTAGTTGAACTGGAGGCAGCTGTGCGGAAGCTGTTTACTTCTCTCCCAGCGCCATATTGTGGGAGAGCAGATGCATAGAATAAGTCTTAATTCCAGTAACTCAGTCTAGTCCGGTTTGCTCCCCACAAGATGTGAGATTCTGCAGAACCAAAGCAGTTGCTTTTGGAGGGGATGATATATGACCCTGACAAGTGATCCCAATCAGTGGCTCTCCAACCACTTTGAGACTACCTGGGGAAGCAGTTACAATGCAGATTCTCGGGCCTCAGCCATGGAGGGCATGTTTCAAAACACCCAGGTGGCACGTGGAGTCAGAGTCCTCACACTCCTTCTGGGAGGCTCTGATGCGCCTGGAGAAGTGTCCTCTGTCCAGAGTAGGAGCCATGAGCTACAGAAGCCTCTCACTTGTAATGAACTAGGGTAAAATTCAAAATTCAGTTCCGTAAGTCTACCAGCTACATCTCAGAGGTTTGATGGCCACATGTGGCCAGGGTCTGCCGCCCTGGACAGCACAGGCAGAGAATGTGGCTCTGCAGAGTCTGGCCTAGAAGGTGTTTTTCTCCTAATGGCTTTCTCAGGAGCAGGTCACGGCAGCAGTCCCAGCCCAGGTACTCTGGGACTCCTCCCCAGACGGTCCCGGGTCCTTGCTGCAGGTTTCCCTTCTTAGCACAGTACCGCTTCCAGCCCACACAGTGCAAGGCCCTGACCCAGGGAACAGTAGAGCCCTGGGTGGCTGCGGATGCAGGCTGGAAGGCTGAGAAACATCTGTAGCTACTGCTCAGGACCCAAACCTCACATCCCCAGTTGTGCCCTTGAGCCTCGTCCGTTGGCGGGGAGACGCCCGGGGCCCGGGCAGCATACGGCTGTGCTGTCCCTGGTTTGGGAGGAGAGACAGCAGCCACTGTCTCAGGCTTCACACTGCTGCCTTCCTACGTCTGCAGCAATCTTCAGTGGCCTGGGGTCGGCTGGGGTGGGAGACAGACCGGCAGCATCAGGATGTGTTACCCTGTAAACTCTCGTGGCCTCTTCACTGTTTTCTTTGCCCTGCCCTGACCTTCCTGTCTGCTGCCTTCCCTTGCACACTGGACTCCCCAGGAGGGGCCGTGCTGGCAGCACTTTCAGGGTTGGGCTTCATCCCTTGAGGATGGGCCAGAGGATGGGAGAGGCAGGCCAAGGCCAAGAGCCTATGTGGTACCTGGGGTGGTGCAGGTGGCAGGGACTGCTAATGCCCAAGTACCGTATGGCTGTACAGGAAGACTGGACGCCATGCATGAGGCTGGCCGTCTCCCACCTGTACATGGCATGAGCACCAAGCTTCCATTTTGAAAACACTCTTTCCTTCATTTGCTAGGTCAAGTGACGAGACCTAGTCCTTGGGAGCATTAATTCGGCAAAACACACACCAAGCCCGCGACGTGGAGCACTTACGTTGACTTTGAAGGTCTGTACCAAGCCATCTAAGAAGCGGATGCTGCAGATGATTTCCGATCGGGTCTTCTCCTTGGGCAGCTCTGCAGTGCGGATGTTGTTAATTCTTCCACCCAGCGCGCGTAACCGGGAGGTCATCACTATCGCTGAGTAACCTGCAGGGCGAGAGAGAGAGAGGGCCTGAGCGCTGTGGGATGCCTGTCCCACGTGGCTCGCCTCGTGCTTCGCGGACAACCCAGCCCCCCCCCCACCCCCGTCGCACCCATGGCCTGGGAGCCTTATGACCCTGAACGAAGCACTCATGTGTGGTGAGGGCCTGCAAACAGGCCGCAGCCCTGTTGAGATCTGCCTTCTAAGGAGCTCATCTGACAGGATGTCTCGCTCAGCCACAGCCTGTTCACACAGCTCCATGGCTTGTCTATGTGTGTGTCCTGTCTCTTCAGTCTGCGGCTCCTAAGGTGTATTTCCCAGCTTCGAAATTTCTATTTATGCTTAGCTATTTTGGGTATTTGCATATTCCGGTCCTCAGGTTTTACAGGGCCAAACATGATAGAAACGCGATTGAAAACGTGAAAAGCCTTATGGATAAACTGGACTACATTCAAATGCACAACTTCTACTCATTCAAAGACACAACTTAGAAGAGCAAGAAGGCAGCCCACAGAGTGGGAGAAGGTATTTGCACACACACACAACCAAAGAGGATATATATATATATATATATATATACATATAGTGCTCCCAACTCATAAGAGAAAGGACAATCAGGTAGAGAACAGGAAGGAAAAAATCACCAGATCCCTAACCACACTACTCGTCAGAGAAATGGGAATGAAAACCACAGAGCCCCAGGAGCACCGACCCACCCCGAAGGCCACAATTTGGGGTCACAAAACCTGGGCAATGCGGAGCAACATGAATCAGGGCAGCTCTGGAAAACTGCGGCCCAGGACCTGCCCCAGCTGAACGTACGCACATTCTGCGGCCCGACAGCCGCGTTCCCAGGACGTCCCCTGCAGGACAACGTGCAGTCACTCACAAGAAGACGTGTACTAGAATCTCCTAAACAGACCCACACGGAGAAGGCCTCAATGCCCACCCATGGTAGCAGGGACAGAGCGTGGTGGGGCCACACCATGACCTAAGCTACCGTCACATGCAGTAAGCCAGCTACCGTCAACTGCAACATGAACGAACCCCATTCACAGTACCTTCTGCAAAAGGAGCCAGCCACAGAGATGACTTGTTTTATATAAACTTGGACTTATAAAAATGATTCCACTATAGAAAGCTAAGAAATAGTGCAATTCGGGACATGCTCAAGCTGACTTACCTTAAATGGTAGAGTTAGAAACATACCAGGGGATTCCAATTCAATCCCATCAAGGTGGCATGTACCAATGCCATCTCACTAGTCCCAGTGATCAATTTCTGTTCACAATTGATCATAATGATAGGACTAAGAACCAAAGGGATCACATAAACAAGAATAGTGTCTACAAATACTAGCTGATAGAATAAAAAAGGGAGAGAACAATCCAACATGGGAAGTGAGATACACAGCAGAACCATAGAATGGCAGATGTCCTAAACAGCACTCTGGCCTCAGAATCAGCCCTTAAGGCATGCGGATCTGGCTGAAAAGCCCATGAGAGTATTTCAGGCATGGAAAGCCAAGACACTCTGGGGGGAAAAAAGAAAAAAACCTAAATGAAAGATCTCCATGAGTGGGATCCCAGTGGGAAGAACGGGTCATCAAAGAAGGAGGTACCTTTCTTTGAAGGGAGGAGAGAACTTCCACTTTGACCATGGCCTTGTCTAAATATGATCAGAGTCGGTGAACTCAGGGGGCTTCCATAGCTTTGGCAGCTCATGACAAGAGCCTAGGGTGATTACTGATGCCATAAACAAGAGTGTCAATTTGTTAAGTCAACAACAGGAATCACTGTGCACTTACTCCTCATGTAGGATCTTTGTCCTTAGTGTGCTGTACATTGTGATTTAATGCTATAACTAGTACTCAAACAGTATT